TATGTACAACCAAGAAAAATGTCTCAGTTGCAGGGTTTATTCCACCTGGTCATTTTCCTCCTAGAACTCGCCTGGTGGTGTCTGTGCGCACTGATTGTGCAAGCCAAGCGCAATCCTAGTCCTCATTGAAGCTTTTCTAAGTGCCGATGCTGACTGACGTTGCCATCGGCCAATGGGTTTTGGGCCCCCTTCTTTCTAAATAACTCGGATGAATGAAGAGAGAGAACATTTCTCAGATTTGCGGGGGGGGGGGGCTGCAAACTGGGAGGGGGAGCTAATGCCACACAAGACAGAATCGGGGTTAAAAAATGACCTCAACATTAGAGAACTGGGCCAAGCACAACCCTAGTCCTCATTGATGCCTTTCTAACATGCCATTGATGACTGACGTTGCCATCGGCCAGTGCGGTTTGGTGGAGACCAGAATGGGAAGATCTTCCACAGGTGAGAATTCCAGCCTTCATTTCGAAGCATGGTTCTGGTCCTCACTGACTTCCTTCTGTGCCTTCTCCACTGCCTCGAAAAAATCAAGCCCAAAGCTTGAATCGTAAAGCCAGAATAAATTATGTACAACCCAAAAAAATGTCTCAGTTGCAGGATTTATTCTACCTGGTCAGTTTCCTCCTAGAACTCACCTGGTGGTTTCTGTGTGCATGGATTGTGCAAGCCAAGCACAATCCTAGTCCTCATTGATGCCTTTCTATGTGCCAATGGTGACGGACATTGCCATCAGCCAATGGGTTTTGGTGGAGACCAGAATGGGAAGATCTTCCACAGGGAGCCCACCACTCCCAAATCTCCCTCTGGTTGCAACCCACTCTCCCCGTGGGGAGACGCAGTCTGGATGTATTGTGGCAGAGGGTGTCTGCCATCGCTCCACTGGATGAATAAAAAAGGATCTCTCTGGCACAGAGGTGTTTTCTGCTTGGGCCTAGAGATGGCAGAGAGAAGGGGGATCAAGGTGACCTTCACAGCTTGGAGAAGTGGGCCCAAACTAACAAAATGAATTTCCGTAGGGACAAATGTCAGGTTCTGCCTTTAGGCGGGAAGAACCAGATGCACAAATATAGGATGGGGGACACCTGGCTTACCAGCAGTACATGTGAAAATGATCTGGGGGTCTTGGTGGACCACAAGCTGAACATGAACCCACAGTGTGATGCAGCAGCAAAAAAGGCTACTGCTATTCTAGGCTGCATCAACAGAAGTCTAGTGTCTGGATTAAGGGAAGTCATAAAGGTAAAGGGACCCCTGACCATTAGGTCCAGTCATGGCCAACTCTGGGGTTGCGGCGCTCATCTCATTTTATTGGCCGAGGGAGCTGGCGTACAGCTTCCAGGTCATGTGGCCAGCAGGACTAAGCCGCTTCTGGAGAACCAGAGCAGTGCACGGAAACGTCGTTTACCTTCCCACCAGAGGGGTACCTATTTATCTACTTGCACTTTTTGTGCTTTCAAACTGCTAGGTTGGCAGGAGCAGGGACCGAGCAACGGTAGCTCATCCCGTCACAGGGATTCAAACCGCTGACCTTCTGATCGGCAAGTCCTAGGCTCTGTGGTTTAACCCACAGCGCCACCTGCGTCCCGTAACCCGAGGTATCACTGTACTAATAATAACATATTATCAACTTCCCCTTCCATTTTCTGTGATGTTTTCCCTCCCATTGCTGCCCCCTGTCTTCACTCTTATATCCAAACCATAACACAATAATCTCTGTTGTTCAAATCCTGCTTGCAAATTTGTCATTATTATAACAGTTCTTCGAACGGTCTGAAATAGGCTTCCAGTTACGTCAGGCAGAGGAACCCCCAGGCCCACCTTGGCTCTCTCCGCAGTCTGAAAAGTAGGAAATAATCTTGAATTGGGACCTGGTGGCTCAGAGAAGAGACACACTCCTTCCCAACCTAACAGAAGCAGGATTCGGAGAAGCAGACGCTGGCTTCCTTCGTTCTGCCTTCCCCCAGGACCATTTCTAAGGCTTCCTCCAAGGAAGAATGGTCTTTGCCCCAAGAGTCAGCCTGGCCATAGCTGGGACTTAGCAGCTTCTGTGCAAGGACTGCAGAGGGTGCTTGAGAAATGCAAATACGTTCCGGGGGAAATGGAAACTGAAACTTATAAGAGGAAACTCACAAGAGAAAGGGCTCTCCGCTCCCGATGTTGCTTTTCTTCCAGCAAAGGAACAGTTTTGTCACCCCGCAAGGGCAGACACCTGTCATGTATGGTTTAGTTGCAGGGGTTGGACTAGATGACCCTTGGGTCCCCTCCAACACGGCACTTCCATGAGCTAGGGGTTTGAGACATGAGGAAAGTGAGGGTTCTCCTGCTCCTGCCCTGCTTGTGAGCTCCCCACTTTGGGCCTGATCCTGCAACCAGACAGATCTTCGGATGCTCTTATGAAGTGAAGCAGTGGCTACGTGGCAGCCCGTCGTGAGGAGCAGGTGACAAACACAGACCTGCCAACATTCCTCTGATAAAAATAGGGACATCCTATTCTACATCACTGTTTTCCCTCCTCACCCTATATATGCATAACTGCAATATGGGGGAAGGGTGGGGCCGGCTGAGCTGCCCAGTGGGACTTACTGTTAAGCAAAGACACATGGTTCAAACTGTAAAAAGGTAAAGGGACCCCTGACCATTAGGTCCAGTCGTGGCCGACTCTGAGGTTGCGGCGCTCATCTCGCTTTATTGGCCGAGGGAGCCGGCGTACAGCTTCCGGGTCATGTGGCCAGCAGGACTAAGCCACTTCTGGCGAACCAGAGCAGTGCATGGAAACGCCGTTTACCTTCCCGCCAGAGCGGTACCTATTTATCTACTTGCACTTTGACATGCTTTCGAACTGCTAGGTGGCCAGGAGCAGGGACCGAGCAACGGGAGCTCACCCCATCACGGGGATTCGAACCGCCGACCTTCTGATCGGCAAGTCCTAGGCTCTGTGGTTTAACCCACAGCTCCACCCACGTTCCTCTGAGGTCATTGGGAGAGTCCAAATGGCTTCAGAATTGCTCTCCTGTACTATTTCAGACACGTGGTTCATATACTTATATATGTGTTTGCCTTGCACATTTATGAATGTTTAATTTATATTTGAGATCTTAGAATTCTTAGACAGCTTTCCAAGTCATGTGGCCAGCATGACTAAACTGCTTCTGGCGCAACGGAACACCGTGATGGAAACCAGAGCGCATGGAAATGCCATTTACCTTCCCGCCGCAGTGGTACCTATTTATCTACTTGCACTGGCGTGCTTTCGAACTGCTAGGTTGGCAGGAGCTGGAGCAGAGCAACGGGAGCTCATCCCGTCGCGGGGATTCGAACCGCCAACCTTCCGATCGGCAAGTCCAAGAGTCTCGGTGGTTAACTTTAGACCACAGCCCCACAAACCTTTATTTGCAACCTCAAAAGGGGTTCATTTAAAAGCTTAGCACACTTCTTCGCAATGCCACAAAACTCCATCCTCCAGCCCAGGCAGCTTTGAAGGTGCTGCACTGCAAATGGAGAATCAAGGAGGCCTTTTGCTGGCTTGGACCAGCACCTGCCTGGTTTTCAGCCCCACAGTGGGCACTGTTGTCTGGGTGCTCTGTTCCAGCAGCCATGCCCCTCGCCCTTGGAGCCTCTCCCCTTCGCCCCCTTTGCAGGTTTCTCCTCCGTGGCCAGCCTGGGGCTTACTTCCAAGTAGACATGCCTGGAATCAGGAGAAAAAGAGAAACTAGAAATATCAATAACCTCAGATATGCAGATGACACAACCTTGATGGCAGAAAGTGAGGAGGAATTAAAGAACCTTTTAATGAGGGTTAAAGAGGAGAGCGCAAAATATGGGCTGAAGCTCAACATCAAAAAAACGAAGATCATGGCCACTGGTCCCATCACCTCCTGGCAAATAGAAGGGGAAGAACTGGAGGCAGTGAGAGATTTTACTTTCTTGGGCTCCATGATCACAGCAGATGGTGACAGCAGCCACGAAATTAAAAGACGCCTGCTTCTTGGGAGAAAATCAATGACAAACCTAGACAGCATCTTAAAAAGTAGAGACATCACCTTGCCAAGAAAGGTCCATATAGTTCAAGTTGTGGTTTTCCCAGTAGTGATGCATGGAAGTGAGAGCTGGACCATAAAGAAGCCTGATCGCCGAAGAATGGATGCTTTTGAATTCTGGTGCTGGAGGAGACTCTTGAGAGTCCCATGGACTGCAAGAAGATCAAACCTCTCCATTCTGAAGGAAATCAGTCCTGAGTGCTCACTGGAAGGACAGATCCTGAAGCTGAGGCTCCAAGACTTTGGCCACCTCATGAGAAGAGAAGACTCCCTGGAAAAGACCCTGATGTTGGGAAAGATGGAGGGCACAAGGAGAAGGGGATGACAGAGGACGAGATGGTGGGACAGTGTTCTCGAAGAGACCAACATGAGTTTGACTAAACTGCGGGAGGCAGTGGAAGACAGGAGTGCCTGGCGTGCTCTGGTCCAGGGGGTCACGAAGAGTCGGACACGACTAAACGACTAAACAACAACAGCTAATTCTGCAAAGCCTCGCAGAGGTTCGGAGGCAGCTGTTTGGCTCCGATGCTGCCCTGCCGAGCAGAGGAGACCTTGCAAGTGTGGATTGAGGATCCCTCCCGACCTTGTGGACATGGGGTCGGGATGGGGAGGAGAGCGGGAGGCGCGGGGGAATCGGGGAGCGGACTGGGGCGCGAGCAGGCAAGGATGGAGAGCAAAACGAGCCGGGAGGAGCTTTGCATCGATTGCAGGGGAGAGCCAAGATACAATTTTGCCGTATGGCCCCCGTTTAAACCCTGATTTACTCATTTCCGCGAGTGGGGGGCAAAAATGTTGTGCTTGGGGGGAAAATAAAAATTAAAATTAAATGTTGCGCTTGGAGACTTTGCAAGCAGCCAAGGAACATTCCTCTCCACAAGCAAGAAACGGATCTCTCTTTTGAGTTTCGGTTTCTATTCTGCCCGAGTGAGCTCACTGCGTTGCTTATATAATCTGAGAGGGCGAGGCAGAAGTTTGCAGACGGAGGTACCATCCGGCAGACTGCTGGACCGCTGGCGAGGGAAAGTTCGCTTCCTGCGAAATTCAGCCTCCTCTCTGGAAAAGGAAAAATGAGGTAAGCAGGGACTCCCCCTACGTAGATCTGACTCCTCCGGCTTAAAGATCTCCCGTTCTGCATTTTGCGCAGCAGGAGTTAGAATCCTAGAAGGGGAGAGATGGGAGGGAAACCCCCACCCCGAATAGCCTGGCCCCCCGGCAATGCAAGTTGGATGTTGCTGGACCCCAGCTTCGGCAGCCAGCATGGCCAAGGGCCGGGGGAAAACGGGAGCGGGAGTCCCGCGACATCAGGAGAGCGGCAGCTGTGGCTCAGTGGTTAGAGCACCTGCTTTGCATGCAGAAGATCTCAGGGCTGGACTAGATGACTTAAGCATATGGGGAGCCGTGCACCTCGTGATGTACCACATTCACAGTACAGTGGTACCTCAGGTTACAGACGCTTCAGGTTACAGACTCCCCTAACCCAGAAATAGTGCTTCAGGTTAAGAACTTTGCTTCAGGAGGAGAACAGAAATCATGCAGCAGCAGCAGCAGGAGCCCCATTAGCTAAAGTGGTGCTTCAGGTTAAGAACAGACCTCCGGAATGAATTAAGTACTTAACCCGAGGTACCACTGTACTGAGGAAAAGAACCCCCAGGAATGTTTCCCTGAAGCACCCACCCACCCAAAAAGAATCCTGTTAACTGCAGTTATACACATCAGAGGGGCATTTCCAAACATCCTTCAGTTCCCAGGGTTCTGGCAGTGCGTGCGCACTTTAAATGTGCTTTGAAGGATGGTGTGCTCACAGTCTCAGAGGCGTGCTGCCTCTGGCACTGGAGATCATAGAACTGTGGAGTTGGCAGAAATGACAAAGCATTTTGAGCATGTGAAGAGGTTTGTGAACAGCATCACCAAGCCCATGTCCTCGGAAGAAGCACAGAATGAGGGCAGTGACTGTGAATGTACAACCAATCTCAAGAACATTCCAGATAACCAGACGTTGATTAAGCGCATGATGATCAAATGTGCAGGTGCTGCAAATCCATGTCGCCCTCTGGAACTGTGTATTGAATGGGCTGGGAGGATTTCAGAAGAAAATTTTGCACAGACGGATGAAGAAAAGAGACAGGGTCTGCCAGTTGTTATGCCAGTTTTCGATCGAAACACCTGTATCATCCCCAGGTCTCAGATATCCTTCATTGATTACTTCATAATGGACATGTTTGATGCTTGGGATGCATTTGCACACCTACCTGTTCTGATGCAACACTTGGCAAATAACTACAAACACTGGAAAACACTAGATGAGCTAAAGTGTAGGAGCCTCCGGCTTCCTTCAGAGAACAATAATATGGCACATCATAGCCTCCCACTCACACTGTGAACCACTTACTGGTATGAACCCAAGAGGGGGCCATTTCCTTCACAATGAAGTAACCAACATGGAGAAGACTATTGTTTCTCAATTTTAAATTGTTCTAAATTCTACACAACTTTGTCTTTTTATATATAAAAATGATAATCGAGAAACCAATATATGCTTTATAGAGCTATTCTCTCTTTGTGGCACAGTGGATCCTTTTAAATGTAGTTTTATATAAAACAAATTGTTATAATTTGTAAAAAAAGAAAAAAAAGAATTGTGGAGTTGGAAGGGACCCCCAGAGTCATCTAGTCCAACCCCCTGCAATGCAGGAATCTCAGCTAAAGCATCCATGACAGATGGGCCATCCAACCTCTGCTTAAAATCCTCCAAAGGACTTTTGTTTTCCTCAGATTCCTGGGCTTTGCATGCAGAAGATCTCAGGGCTGGACTAAATGACCCTTGGGGTCCCTTGCAACTCTAAAATCCTGTGGTCCCCTGATGGCATCTGCAGGTAGGGCTGGAGATAGGATCGTGGAACTGTAGAGTTGGAAGGGACCCATGGGTCATCTAGTCCAACCCCCTGAAGTGCAGGGATCTTTTACCCCAGGTGGGGCTCAAACCCACAACCCAGAGATCAAGAGTCTCCTGCTCTACCGACGAAGCTTTTACTCTGACACTCTTTGGCCAAATCTAGGCAGTAGGGGGAAGCACCTGCTCAGGTGGGCGGGGCCTAGGGATAAAAGTGGGCAGGGCCTCGGTGCAAAGTGGGCGGGGCCTATTGTTAAAAGTGGGCGGGGCAACAGGTGTGACCCTTCCTTTTTTGGCAAGAGGCCACATTCCAGTGACAACCAAGTCTAAATCCTAAATCTTCTGGGCCCTTTTGAACAAAGAACTCCTGCCTGTAGCACCCCTTTACCCTTTCTCGCTCTTTATTTATAGTTTTATTAGATTTTTCTAATTCACATTTCAAGATATTCATTTAAGCAACCTCAAATCATTGACTTCCCTTCCCTTCTTTCCATGGTTCATTTTGCCTACCATACATCCCTGCATATTGTGAATGACCTAAACCATTCCGTATTCCATTGTTACACCATCAAAACTTATTTGCCCTATTGAATTGACCTTAAGGCTGCCGGCGTTTTTAAATGTATACAACTTTCACCCACTTAATCAGTAAACATTTTCCAGTCTTCTTTAAACATGCATACTTCTTGCTCTCTTATCCTGTATGTCAAATCTGCAAGCTGTGCATATTCCATCAGTTCAAGTTTCCATTCTTCTTTGGTTGGGACCTCGCTCTGTTTCCATTTTGGGGCTTGCAAAACACAGTAGTAGCAGTAGTAGCATACATAAAGGTAAAGGGACCCCTGACCATTAGGTCCAGTTGTGGCCGACTCTGGGATTGCGGCGCTCATCTGGAGCCGGCGTACAGCTTCCAGGTCATGTGGCCAGCATGACTAAGCCGCTTCTGGCGAACCAGAGCAGCGCACGGAAATGCCGTTTACCTTCCCACTGGAGCAGTACCCATTTATCTACTTGCACTTTGACGTGCTTTCGAACTGCTAGGTTGGCAGGAGCAGGGAGCGAGCAACGGGAGCTCACTCCGTCGTGGGGATTTGAACTGCTGACCTTCTGATCAGCAAGCCCTAGGCTCTGTGGTTTGACCCACAGCGCCACCTGCGTCCCTTCAGTAACATACATAAATGTTTTTTTTGACACCTGGGAATTTCCCTCCGAATTATCCCCAACAAAAAGGACTCCGGTTTGTTGGTTTTGGAAAGGTACTTAAAAAACAACCAAAAAAACCACAATTCATTATACAGTCGTACCTCAGAAGTCGAACAGAATCCATTCCAGAAGTCGACTTCTAAAGCATGGCTTCCGATAGGCTTCAGGAAGAACTTTGGAAAACCGGAACACTCACTTCCCGTTTTCAATCGTTCGGGAGCTGAGGTACGACCGTACAGTGGTACCTCGGGTTAAGTACTTAATTTGTTCTGGAGGTGAGGTCCGTTCTTAACCTGAAACTGTTCTTAACCTGAAGCACCACTTTAGCTAATGGGGCCTCCTGCTGCCGCCACCGTGCAATTTCTGTGCTCATCCTGAAGCAAAGTTCTTAGGCCGAGGTACTATTTCTGGGTTAGTGGAGTCTGTAACCTGAAGCGTATGTAACCTGAAATGACTGTAACCCGAGGTACCACTGTATATCCTCTCAAAGAGTGTCCCTCACCCTTTCTCGATCTCCCTCCCTCCCTGCCTGCCTCTTCCCTCTGCAGCCGGCCGCTGAGATTGAAGCTCGAGAGCTTGCAGTGCCACTTCACCTGGGACTTTGAGATAAAGGACAAGGTGGATGCCTTGCACATCCTGCAAACCCTGGCTCCGCAGGCCCAGCACACCCCGCACCACAACCGAGGAGCCTACCTTGCCATGAGGGCCTACCTCCAGAACTTCCAGGGGAACTACAAGGAGGCCCTGGACAGCCTCCGAGAAGCAGAGTGTGCTCTGAAGCGGGACCACCCCACCAACTTCTCCCGCCAGGCCCTGGTGACCTACGGCAACTACGCCTGGGTCTACTACCGCTTGGTCAATTACGACATGGTGGACCTCTACCTGGGACGCATCCACGACATCTGCCGGTCCTTGGCCAGCCCAGAGGCATACTCTGCGATGATCCCTGAAGTCCACGCTCAGAAAGGCTGGTCCCTCCTGGCCGGGGGCTTCCGGAACTGGGACCAGGCCGCAGAATGTTTCCGGAAGGCGCTGGAGGCGGAAGAGTCCAACGAGGAGTTCCAGGCCGGACTGGCCATCTCCGTTTATGCCTCCTACACTCATTCCTGGACCACCGAAAAACGGGAAGAAGCCCAGAAGTTGCTGGAAGAAGTCGTCGCTCGCCAGCCGCAAAACTACGAAGCCAAAGCTTATTTGGCTCAGACACTTATGGCGGTGGACAAGGAAAGAGCGCTCTTCCTTGTGGACGATGTTGCCCGGGAGAGCGTGAACCCCGAAGTCCTCCGAATCGTCTCCAAGCTGTACAAGCAGCAATCCTTTCCCCGTACCATTTCCATTCTGAAGAAGGCCATTTCCATTCTGAAGAAGGCCATCGCCTTAGATCCCGGCTACCATCTCCTACACTACGACCTTGGCATGGGCTACCTGCAGATGTTGGAGCACTCTCCAGGCGATGTCAGAGAAGAAGCCATCGAGCCTGCCATTGAGAGCTTCAAACGCGCTCTGGAGATGGATCCTTTCTCCATCTTCACCCAGCTGAAGCTGGCGAAAGCTTACGGTGAGAGGTCACCGGCTTACGAGGAAGAGATCTACCTTAACCTGATGGAGGAGCTCCCGGAAGCCAGCAAGAGATGCCAGCAGTCCATCTACATGCACTGGGGGGACTTCCTCCTCCACAAGAAGGGGGTGAAGAGCCAGGCCCTGGACATGTACCAGGCGGCTGCCAGGATCCCCGGAGACCACTCCCTTGAGAGGAAGCAGCTGGAAATTCGCCTGAAGAGGCTGGCGAGGATGTTCAGGGAAGACGGAGAAATGGAGCAAGCGAGCGCTGTCTACAGCTTACTTAAAGAAACAGGGCTTCAGGTTACAAGTCAACAGGACGGATCGTGGCGAAGGGGTTCGTGGCGAGGGAACGACAGGGCCCAGCAGTGAAGGACCTCCACACTCACACACTCGCAGAGAGGCAGGGGGTTGTGGCTCTTTCCTTCCAGTTTGGGAAGAGGCTCTTCCTGCAGCCTCTGAGCCCCTGGACCCTCCAGCAGTTTTTGCTGGGGAAAAGCTGATTTCCATGAAGTTTCGTTGCAGTCCCCTCCCCGCACTAAAGGAGAGAAAAAAAGCTTCCAGTTGTGTTTATCTGCGAAAAATGTGGTTGTTTCTAGAAGTGGCATTGCTATTATTATTATTATTATTATTAATTATTATTACTATTACTATTTGTAGTCCTGGATCCTGCAAGGGTTAAAATCTAATGGAGGATTCCATTGCTGAACCAAGGAGCAAGTTTCTTTGTGGAATAATGGCTGTAGTTGCCACGCTAAATACTGCCATTCCTTCTCTTGAATAGACATGGGTTTCCCAATCTTTTTTCCCTCCAGACTACAACTCCCATCATCACTAGCTAGCAGGACCGGTGGTCAAGGATGATGGGAGTTGTAGTCCAAATGCAGCTGGAGACTCAAGTTTGGGAAACTCCGAGTTAGACAAAGGCTGTTCAGTGCAATGATCAGTTTGTTTGGCGCTTGATTCCAAGGCTGTCAGTATGGAAGAAGCAAGACCTTTTGGAGTGTTAAGTCTGCGAGCCCCTCCATCTTGGGCTTAGGTTGTATATATGCTGTGCAAATAAACCATATATCCTAAAGACACCACGGTCTCCACTGTTGCCTGTTCCAAGGAAACTGAGCCCTGGGATATTGCTCCGCTCAGAGATTTGGGTGCCACGTAATAGTATTAAGATTATGGTGACCACATATTGCTTGGCCGTCACCCTAAGGTCCCAGGGCGGGTTGCAACCATTCAAGTTATTAATATATAGAAAGATGGCATTGCACAATATTGCAAACAGTTTAAAGCCAAGTAGGAATTGCTGGGGGTTGAAACGGATTAGCCTTTGGGTCCGTTCCAGAAAATAACAGAGGCCAACCAGAGTGTTTTGAGAAGCAAAGCGGCTAGTAAGCCTGATCTTTATTCAAGGAACTGTTGCAACAGGGTCCCCACTCACCAGACGCAGGAGGGAGGAGAACCCTGAACAATGGTGCTCAAGCCCTTATATAGACTTTTGAAACTGGCCACCCTGTAGCCCAAGACCACCCCCAAAAAGCATTATACATCACAGAAGGAGGTGGTCTACAGCAAAAATCCTGCCTGCCAGGATACCTGATAATGGTCACTGATTGCATTGCCTGGGCAGCCTGGGCATTCTTTTGTGATGGTTAATACTTTAGTTCCTGAATCCAGGTCACAGGCTCACCCTATTCATACACAAATACATCCTTAAGACAGGATTTGTAAGCAAAAAGACAATGGGAAGGCTTTCCCCATTTGCCTCCCTTCCCACAGAGGAATATTTGAGGTCATTGAGAGAGTCAAAATGGCTTCAGGATTGCACTCCTGTACTATTTCAGACACATGGTTCACATACTTATGTATGTGTTCACCTTGTACATTTAAAGGTAAAGGTAAAGGGACCCCTGACCATTAGGTCCAGTCGTGGCCGACTCTGGGGTTGCGGCACTCATCTCGCTTTACTGGCCGAGGGAGCTGGCGTACAGCTTCCGGGTCATGTGGCCAGCATGACTAAGCCGCTTCTGGCGAACCAGAGCAGCGCACGGAAACACCGTTTACCTTCCCGCCAGAGCGGTACCTATATATCTACTTGCACTTTGACGTGCTTTCGAACTGCTAGGTTGGCAGGAGCTGGGACTGAGCGCGGGGATTCGAACCGCCGATCTTCTGATCGGCAAGTCCTAGGCTCTGTGGTTTAACCCACAGCGCCACCCGCGTCCTGCCTTGTACATTTATGAGCATTTAATTTATATTTGAGACCTTAGAATTCTCATAACAAAGGTGAAGCCATAAAATTATTGCAAAGGGGAAATCGGAACAACCATTGAAAGCTTTCGGAAAGTTGAAATAGCAATAGCCTTAGAAACCCATGAGGAAGGTGGGTCCTGCAGGAAGGCAGGCGGAAGGGGGGCAGGATCTGAGGGGCGGGTCCTCCTCCTGCTCTGTTCACGAGTCTCCAGTCTGCTCTTGCTCAGGAATCTCCTCTCCTTCGGCCACCAGTGGGTTCAGGAGCTCCTTGAATCGCAGCGTGTTCCTGCGGGATGGAGAGAGATCTGGTGTGGCATTTACACACACACCCTTTCCACCCAAGGAGTTTGAGGTTTGCCGTGCAGTTTTCCCCCTCCTCATTTAATCCCCACAGCAACCCAAGGCTGAGTGTCAGGGGGGGCTGACACCCAAAGTCCACCCCCCCCCCGCGCCAGCAGCAAGCTTTGTGTCCCAGTGGGGATCCTAGCTGTCAACTTGCAGATTTGAAAATAAGGGACCAGCAGCCTCGAAAATAAGGGATCAGCAGCCAAAATAAGGGATCACAGGTCCCAAAGTGAAGAGCTCAGCTAATAGCAACAGTTTTGCTCCTCCTCGCTGCCAAAGTTGCGCTTTGTGCGTGGAGGGAAAGCGGCGGGTTTAACCCTTTGCGTGGAAGCCTGCTCTCATTTCATTTTAAAGCACATAAATATATATAAGTCGTCCCCATCTCCTAGCGGTCTCCGCTTTTCTTTCCCCCCCAACCGCGATGGATGACGAGAAGGGCAGGTGCCGGCAGCGCAAAAAGCGTGGCACCACAAGCAAGCCGCGCGGGAGATGTGATCGGGGGCAGGGGGGGGGAGTGTTTCCAAGCCTCAGCCCCCGCCCCAAAAGCAATCGCGGAAAGCGACGGCCGTGAATGAACTGCCGCCCCCCCCCCAAAAAAAAACGCAGACACCGAGCAAGCCCTACGGCTCGCCTAGAAGAAAGGAGGAAGAAGAGCCGAGCGGAGGAAGAGAAGGAAGAAGAGGAGACAACAGCTCGCTACCTCCCTCCCGCCCTTTGCACCCTGCTGCCCGCTCCGCCCCGCTTGCGCTGCTTGTCTCTCTTTTTTGCAAATCCATGCAATATTGCGCTTGACCTTCACAGCTCGCCGGAGCCGCCGGCGTGAGACGGGAAGCCGAGGGGAGATTCTGCTCTGGTCAGACCTCACCTGGAGTACTGTGTCCAGTTCTGGGCACCACAGTTCAAGAAGGACACTGACAAACTGGAACGTGTCCAGAGGAGGGCAACCAAAATGGTCAAAGGCCTGGAAACGATGCCTTATGAGGAACGGCTAAGGGAGCTGGGCATGTTTAGCCTGGAGAAGAGGAGGTTAAGGGGTGATATGATAGCCATGTTCAAATATATAAAAGGATGTCACATAGAGGAGGGAGAAAGGTGACCAGGGAGAAGAATCGGTGGAAGAAGATTGGAAGAAATTCAAAGATTATTTACAGAAATATTGCAAAATTAATGAATGTTAGAGTGATGTTGGATTGAAATTAAGTGGCGTCTAGCTGTACAGGCTTTAAAGTTATAAATATATCAAGATTAAGGATTAGGATTGAAAAGGTTCAAAGAGTGGAAAAATTGGTTTTTACTAGGTAAAAATTTAATGTTATATTATATTAAGATTTAGGATTTGGATTAAAAAGGAGGAAAGGAATTGCTGGACTAACAAACTGAATTGGAATACAAAAGAGGGAGGTATGAGGAGGTCCGGAAACAAGTAAATGTAAAAGTAGTGATGAAAAGGGAATTGTTTTTAACTGTTTTTTCTTTTCTCTTTTTGTATTTTGCATTGTGTATTTTTCTTTTTATTCTTGAATTTTTCTTTTTTGTTGATGTGATTCTTTCTTTGTGAAACTTTAATAAATATCATTTAAAAAAAAGAGAGAGAGAGAGAGAGAAAGGTTGTTTTCTGCTGCTCCAGAGAAGCGGACACGGAGCAATGGATGCAAACTACAAGAAAGAAGATTCCACCTAAACATTAGGAAGAACTTCCTGACAGTAAGAGCTGTTTGACAGTGGAATTTGCTGCCCAGGAGTGTGGTGGAGTCTCCTTCTTTGGAGGTCTTTAAGCAGAGGCTTGACAACCATATGTCAGGAGTGCTCTGATGGTGTTTCCTGCTTGGCAGGGGGTTGGACTCGATGGCCCTTGTGGTCTCTTCCAACTCTAGGATTCTATGATTCTATGAGAGCAGCAGAGCCTGCAGGAGGCCCCAGCCAGGTGGACGGGGCTCGAGCCGCCCGCATCCCAGAAATTGGACGCCAAATAAGGGACGCTTGACAGCTATGGTGGGGATTCGAACCCTGGCCTCCCAGGTGCTAGCCTGACACTCCACGCTGGCAAAGGGGATTTCGCTGGGTATTCAGCTGGGTCCCACCCCCCCACTTGGGGAGCCTCCACCTTCGCCCCAGAAGTGTTTACTGGTTGGGGAGGGGCATGCACTTTGCACATGCTCAAAAATCATTCTCACTTCACATGCATCAGGTGGAGTTCTCATGGAAAGGGAACAAAAGATGGTCTCTCTCATACCCTTGGTTTTTATTGCTTCTATGCAACTTTTCCCAACCTGGTGCCCTCCAGGTGGTCTGAACTATAATTCCCATCAGCCCCCGCCGACACGGCAGGCTACACAACCACGCTGCCTGGGGCTGACGGAAACTGTAGTGCGAATCCGCCGAAGGCTGCTAGATTGCCAGAATGACGCCGGGCTGGACGAACTCTTGTTCTGAGCCAGCAGCCGGGCTCCTCCTGCGTTTTTAGCCTGGGCACCTTTCATAGAATCACAGATATGTGGGGTTGTGAGGAACCCTAAGGGACATCTAGCCCAACCCCTGCAATGCAGGAATCACAACTGAATAATCCCGGAGAGGTGGCCAACCAACCTCTGTTTAAAAGTCTCCAAGGAAGGAGTGTCCACCCCCTTTGAGATCATCCTTTCCAGTGCTGAACGGCCAGGAAAGTTCTTTCCTGATGTTCAGTATCCTTTCTTGTAATCACTTGGTCCACATCCTAGCCTCTTTTCTGTGGGGCAGCCCTTGAGATAGTTGAAAATGGCTCTTATGTCTCCTCTCGGTCTCCTTTTATCCAGGCTAAAGGTAAAGGTAAAGGGACCCCTGACCATTAGGTCCAGTCGTGGCCAGCTCTGGGGTTGCGGCGCTCATCTTGCTTTACTGGCTGAGGGAGCCGGCGTACAGCTTCTGGGTCATGTGGCCAGCATGACTAAGCCGCTTCTGGCAAACCAGAGCAGCGCACAGAAACGCCGTTTACCTTCCCGCCAGAGTGGTACCTATTTATCTACTTGCACTCGATGTGCTTTCGAACTGCTAGGTTGGCAGGAGCAGGGACCGAGCAACGGGAGCTCACCCCGTTACGGGGATTCGAACCGCCGACCTTCTGATCGGCAAGCCCTAGGCTCTGTGGCTTAGACCACAGCGCCACCTGTGTCCCAGGTTAAACATCCAGTATCCAGGCTAAACATCCCCAACTCCCTCAATTGGGCTTGGTTCCTAAGCAATTTTATCATCTTGCTGGCCCTTCTCTTTCCACTTTCTTAAACTGGGGTGCACAGAACTAGACACAGATTAGGGGTCCAGGGCAGATATTGATTCCCCCCCCTTCCTTACCTCTCCCTCTTGGACTGCATGACATAGGTCCGCTCTCTCTTCACCTTCTCCAAGTGACGTTTCACTGCGGTTTTCTGTCCAGCCTGGTCTTGCTGGAACGGGAAACGCAAAGTTACACTGGTTCCCCTCACAGCTGCCAAGGAGACGTCTCTTAGGATGCAGACATGGCCCAGGCAAGATGATACCCAAACCCACCCATGGAGCCATCCCAGTAAATCTGCAAGAACCAGAACCTGACATTGGAAAACTCAGAACAGGGTCCCGTGCAGAGATGCGGTGGGCACACTCTTTCCTGGGCGAGCGGTTCAGTTGCATACCTGCACTGGGAGTGACGGAAGCGAGGTCACCTCTTCTGCTGAGATGGGGAAGGAGCTGCTGGGAAGGAGGCAGAAGGCAGAACCCCTGTATCGTGCAGAGACACAACAGGCACCTTCCTCTGTGGACGGGTATTTCTGGACTCGCTGCAGGGTGCAAGCAGTTCTGATGCGGCACATTGCGGTATGACCCCAGCGGGGATTTGGTTTCAAGGGTACTCCATAAAAATGGCAAATGTGTTAGAGCTGTCGCCATGGCTGGCAGCTGAGGCAGAAGGGGGGGGAGAGGTGTGGGGGACTCCCTGGTCCTGAATGGGGTAACTGTGCCCCTGAAGGACCAGGTGCACAGCCTGGGGTCATTTTGGACTCACAGCTGTCCATGGAGGCGCAAGTCAATCCTGTATCCAGGGCAGCTGTTTATCAGCTCCATCTGGTACGCAGGATGAGACCCTCCCTGCCTGCAGACTGTCTCGCCAGAGTGGTGCATGCTCTGGTTATCTCCCGCTTAGACTACTGCAATGCGCTCCATGTGGGGCTACCTTTGAAGGTGACCCGGAAACTGCAATTAATCCTGAATGCGGCAGCTAGACTGGTGACTGGGAGTGGCCACCGGGACCACATAACACCGGTTCTGAGAGATCTGCATTGGCTCCCAGTATGTTTCCGAGCACAATTCAAAGCGTTGGCGTTGGTGCTGACCTTTAAAGCCCTAAACGGCCTCGGTCCAGTAGACCTGAAGGAGCGTCTCCACCCCCATCGTTCAGTCCAGACACTGAGGTCCAGCACCAAGGGCCTTCTGGCGGTTCCCTCACTGCAAGAAGTGAGGTTGCAGGGAACCAGGCAGAGGGCCTTCTCGGTAGTGGCGCCCGCCCTGTGACCCTCCCTTCAGATGTCAAGGAGATAACGAACTACATAACTTTTAGAAGACATCTGAAGGCAGCTCTGAATTGGGAAATTCTTAATGTCTGATGTTTTACAATTTTATATATGCTGTAAGCTGCCCAGAGTGGCTGGGGAAACCCAGCCAGATGGGCAGGATATAAATAATAAATTATTATTATAATTGTTTCTCAAACGACCTTGGCATCCACAGACAACCGACCTGAGCCCGGAGGAATGGCCTCACCTGGCCCTCGTTCTCTGATGGAAGAGGCCAGAACTCCGCCGGACTGCTTCCCAGAAGGTCGTCCTCAGATTTGCGGTGTTTGGCGATGGACAGCCTCTCTTGGAACTGAAAAGGAAGAGAGGATTTGTCTCAGCATTTTCTGGTGGTTTACATCTCCACCCCCATCATTCAGCCCGGACACTGAGGTCCAGCTCCGAGGGCCTTCTGGCAGTTCGCTCCCTGAGGGAAGCGAGTTTACAGGGAACCAGGCAGAGGGCCTTCTCGGTGGTGGCGCCCACCCTGTGGAACACCCTCCCATCAGATGTCAAGGAAATAAACAACTATCTGACTTTTAGAAGACACCTGAAGGCCGCCCTGTTTAGGGAAGTTTTTAATCTTTGGTATTTTATCATGTTTTTAATATCCTCTTGGAAGCTGCCCAGAGTGGCTATTATTATTATTATTATTATTATTATTATTATTATTATTATATTCCAGAAAGCTGGTACCATGGGATCAGGTTCACCAATTCTGTTGTATTAATTAGAACAGCTTTTGCTGGGCTTTGAATAAATGTGCAATTGTTACCGTTTTCAGTTTTATTATTCTCCTTAGTGGTTCGTGCTACTCTGAATAACTGGAGATGAGTTTATAGAACAAACGGTGGCAGACCTAAAATGTTTGGAAGCCACTGCTCTAACCATTGCACCACACTATCTACGTAGATCTGTGCACAGATAGGACACAGCATAGGTAGTGCAGCCTTCGCCAACCTCGTGCCCTCCAGAGACTCGGAGCTATGACTCCTGCCAGCCCCAGCCAGCATGGCCAACGGGAGTCGTAGTCACCCAGTGGGCGCTATGTTGGCAAGCGCTGTGTCAAGGAGAGCTGGCGCCTTCCTGCACATGCGAAACACGAGGTGGTCTGTGTGAGCACATGCACAGCAAGTCAGAGTTTGGTGCTTTCTGCCGTTGGAAGGCAAAGCCATCATAACGCCCCCCCTGAGCAGGGCATTTCAAGGGTGCTGGGTTCGAAACAAGAGGAGTCCCCCGACTGCCTCTCCGCCATGCTCCTGGTCTCACCCGCAGGGTCTGGCGCTCCTTGTCCCGCTGGTGCCGCCGTTCTCCCTCGGCCTGAAGTTCTGCCAAGCGCCGCAGAGCCGCCTCCTTCTCCTGGCGGGAGAGCCACACAAAGGCCTTCTCCCGGCACGGTGGGCGAGGGCGGGGAGGCTGTGGGGCAGGGCAGGGGGCAAGGTGGAGGGGTGCAAAGGCAAGTCAGGAAGGTCTTCCGTACCCCAAAGGAAAAGCTCCCCACCGGCGCAGGGGCAGCAAACGCACCCTCCAAACGTTGGCCGGACTCCCAGCCTCTGTCTTGCCTAACCATTGGGCCTGCTGGCTGGGGCGGACGGGGGTTGTAGTCCAGCAAGATCCGTGTTGGCTGCCGCTGTGCTGGAAGTTCTAGCCCGCCCACAACACACCTGGGGCCTTCCAGACAGGGCCGGCTCAAGACATTTTGCCGCCTGAGGCAAAAGTTCAGCATCTGCTGCTTGAGGCCACGGTCTCCCTCTGCCTCCTCTCAGGACCGGCCCTTCTTCCAGATATCCTGAGCTGCATTTCCCACCGTAACCAAACCGGTTTACGAAATCATCCCCCCAAATACTCTCACCCCACTTTCTCCCCAGGCCAGACCTCTATCTTCCTCAATAACTTCCACCCAACTTTGAACCTGCCTGGATGGAGCTCAGAAAGGACAGGTGAGTTGTAGAAACCAGCCTACTTTACGAAGATGACATGTCGATGTGGGGGGCATGGACCAATTTTGTGCCTGCACACACACACCCACACACACCATAGCTGTCAACCGTCCCTTATTTGGCGGGACACTCCCTTATCCCAGCGCCATGTCCCACTGATCTCTTATTGATGATGTCCCTTAAATTTCCCGGGTTTCAAAGGAAGCAGCTCCTCTCCCTCCCTCCCTGCCAGGGAGGAGGGAGGCTCCAACTGTGTTGCTTGGCTGCGTTGCTCACCCAATAAGGAGTCGGAGAACGACTGGGGGGTGGAGTTTGCATGCCTTGTGCCGATCAAATCGGCCGCGTTGCCTGGGGACTCGCCTTTGCTCAGCGCTTCCCAGCGGAGAGGCGACGGTGGTTTTCCTTGCTGCATCCCCTTTGCCAGGTTGCTGCGCTGTGGGAACCACCGCTTGAGGCTTCGTTTGGCTGCTGGCTGGGCTTTCTGCCTTTGGCTCAGAGGGGCTCAGAAGTTGAACATAGCTGTGCCTGGAAAATCCCTTATTTTGGTTGCTGAACCCTTATTTTTGAGGCTGCTGGTCCCTTATTTTCAAATCTGTAAGTTGACAGCTATGACATACATACACACACACACACCCCACACACTATGTGGCCCCTGAAGGAGAGAATGTGGCCCCCAGGCCAAAAACCTTCTCCCTCCTTGACTCAGAAAATTTACGGTGTGAGATCAATAAAAGCAAAGGCTGCATTTTCCTTACCTGGTGCCCACCTGCCTCTTCCGCAGCCGCACTGCGGGAGCTGCCTGCCATCGCCCTGGAGCCGCTGTCTGCCTCAGAGTAAGCAGTTGGCTCCTCCCAGAACGGAGAAATCATGGAGACAGTGGAACTCATGTCAACTTCGCCATCCTGGTACGGTGCAGAGAAAGGAATCAAGACAGGGTGGGATTGGGGCCAGCCCAAGACATTTTGCTGCCTGTGGTAAGCTTGCTTCAGCAGTGGCAATGGGGCAACCCTCTTGGGGCAGTAGGGCTGGTAGGAGGGGTGGGGAAATCTGCAGTCATAATGACCATTAAGTTTGTTAAATAAGCCTGTGGAGAGTTTAAGATTCACAGAGTTCCTGTATTGCTGGAGAAGACAGCCCTGCACCCTATACCTTGTGGCAGAAAATAGGACAAAAGATCTTAATCATTTCTCCTTCCTCCTTGCCTCAGTCTCTCCCTCTCTTCTTTCAAGCGAGGGCTCCTCTTAGAGCCCAGACTTCATTTTGGAAACTAATTTTGCATTTTGTAACAAAGGAGAATTTTCACCTGCATACTACTCCGATGTATTTGCTGCCTGCATTGAAATGTAAGTAAACCTTTTGTTTTTACTAAAACATGCGGTTCATTCTTAGCAAAGGGGACAGAGGGGGGAAAGGTCAGCAGACCACAAATAAGCAGGGTTAAAAGGTTTGATTTTCTAATTCCTAGCTTCCAGGAAGCTGCAAAAGTGCATAAGTGCTAAAAGGGATTTGCAGTCTGTTTACTTTCATATTTCTCCCCACACATGTGGGATAGGAGGTTTAAATTACATTTTATAGATTTAATCCTCAATTTATCTCCATCAAAGGGGTGCACAGCTCTGTCCCTTCCTTCTCGCTTCCAACAAATCCAGGAGGTGGCAATTATTTGGCTCAGTCCACCATTGGTGCTGTGGTCTAAACCCCACTGAGCCTAGGGCTTGCCAATCAGAAGGTCGGCGGTTCGGATCCCCACAACGGGGTGATCTCCCATTGCTCGGTCCCTGCTCCTGCCAACCTAGCAGTTCGAAAGCACAGCAAAGTGTAAGTAGATAAATAGGTACCACTCTGGCGGGAAGGTAAATGGCGTTTCTGTGCGCTGCTCTGGTTTCCCCAGAAGCGGCTTAGTCATGCTGGCCACATGACCCGGAAAAACTGTCTGCAGACAAACATCGGCTCCCTTGGCCAGTAGAGCGAGATGAGCGCCGCAACCCCAGAGTCGTTCGCGAGCGGACTTAACTGTCAGGGGTCCTTTACCTTTACCTTTTAGCATTGTCTCTGGTGCCATCAACTGCTGGGCCACCCTACCACTCCCAGTGGGCACCAGCCATCAAAGTCCTATATCCATACTTGCTTCCCCCTTTCCTCCAGCAACACAGCCGCCCCACTTCTGTGCCCTAAACCAGACCCCGATCCCACCTGCCCCACACTCCTCCTTACCCAAGACACTCCAGAGCGCCTCTCGGGCTGGGCTATGCAGATGGAGCTCTCTCTGGACAGGCCCACAGCAAGAGCTGCTGGAGTCCACACGGGCTCTTCGTCACGTTCTCCAGGGCTGGGGGGAGACAGCATGGCCATGGCGGTGGGCTTCCAGGTGCCAATGGGGGCCTGCTCCCACAGGGGAGATGCCTCCAGCCTTCTGCTCAGCGCTCCAGGCTCCAGATCTCCCTGGTCCGAGTGGTGCATCCCAGGGGCTGAGAGCATCCTTGGTTGAGGTCCTTCAGCTGGCAAGGCTTCCTTCAATCTCTGTTCCTGACTCTGAAAAGCCCGTGGTCCTTCCGTCCCTTGAGAATCAAGGGCTCCCACCTCTCCTTGGAGCTCCTGTTGCCTGCACACCCGGCACAGCTTCGCGCCTTCTGGGAGATGGCGCTCCACCCCGTCTTCCGCCTGGAAATGATCACCCATGCCATGGACCTTGGGTTCTCTCAGATTCTGGCAGAAAAGGGTGTTTGGGTCCCGCACTTCCTCGGGAGTTCCCTGACGGTTTGGGAAATTGCTGTGGGGCTGAAGAGCTTGCTGCGGCTGGTAGGTTGGTGGCTCTCGGGGTGAGGGCATCTCGCTGTCCTGAGAACATGGGTCTTCTCCTGCCCTCCTCATTCCCCGGGTGTCCTCAAGGTCTTGTGTTCTCGTCAACTCCTGAGGGTCAAGAGACTTGGACCTCCCCAGCAGAACTCCCCACAACTCCAAGCGAGGCTGCTCGTGGGGCTCTGTGGGTGCGGGTTCCAGCTGGGCCATGCTCCCCTCAGCTTTAAGGGAACCCCACTCAGCCTGTGGCTCCATGCTTTCCTGGGACTGGAAAACGTGGGGTTCGCTCACCCCTGGAACCTCGGCAGATGCCTCTGGTGAACATTCTTGCCCCGGGATTTTCTGAGGTGCCTTCAGCTTTGGCGATCTCACACGTCTTCCTGGGGGCTGACAAGGCCCCTCAACTCCCTTCTGGCTTGGGGGAGGCTGAGGGATCATCTGCTGACCTTGCCGTGTCTCACGTGTCTCAGTGGCCTCCTGATCTGTTGTTGGAGGCTGGTGGGACTCCGAACCTCTCCACTCCTGAGGGATCTCAAGGCCCATGGTTCCCTGGGGTTCAGTTGCCGCTTGCTTCTCTGGTTCACCAAAATCCCTGTTTTCTTGTGGCTGTTGGGCCTCCCCAGTCCTCAGCCCTTGGGGCTGAAGAGCTTCCAGTTCATGGTAGAACCCTTCCAGTTCCGGGAGCTGCTCAAGATCGACCTGGGGGGCCTTGTGAGGAGGAAGGGACTGGGGCAAACTGACTGGCTGAGCTACGATCATCTCATCTCTTTGCTCCTGAAGGAAGTCCTGGCTCACAGGTAGAGATCTGGGGGATTTGATGCTCTCCGCCTCCATTCTGTAACCTTCTCTGTGGGAGTCAAGACTCCCTGGAGTCCCTTCAGCAATGTCCAGTGTTCTCTGGTCCAGTTGACTTTGCCCTTGAGTGTTTTGTGACTTCTGCCCCACGAGTCCCTGAAGCGGCTCCTTCACCGGTTGGTCACGAGGGCTTTCTGGCCTGTGGACAAGACCATCTCCCCTTGTTGGGGTCCAGTGCCCAAGTGTCTTAGACTTCCTCGGCAGGTTTCTCAGGAGCGGAGGGCTTTGCACCTCCCTCTTTTCTTGAGGATCAAGAGACTGAGGCTCCACCAGTTCCTGGGGCTCTGCTTCCCTTTGCACAAACCCCTGAATCTGAAGAGTCTCGCTCTGAGAAGATTTCTGGAGGGGAAGCTCCTCCAGCTCTTCACATTCTTTGGAGTGGAAAATCTGGGCACCCTTCAGTTCTTGGGAAGAAAGAACCCCTCCCCTGTTTCTCAGTGACCCCTGCACTTGGGGAGGCTCTTTCTCCACCTGTCCAGTCTTCTGGGTCCCACACTCAAGTTCTGGTTGGAATTGAGGGCCCTGTATGTGATTTGGAGGAAGTTCCTGAAGGGTTCCTGAATGGAGGACTGCTGCTCCTCTTAAATCCTGAGGTTCCAGCTCACCTTGTCTCTGTGGGTGGCACGACTTGGAGATACCCATGTTTTGCAGGTTAGTGGGATCTCCTAGTTCCTTTCCCTGGAGTTCCCTCGGGTCAAGAGACTTTGATTTCCCCAGACCCAGCCAAGGTGGGAGGTCTTTGGTCTCCATATGTGATAAAGGCAGTTCAGCTTGGGACGTCTCATCCTCCATCAAGCTTTCCTCAAGCTGAAGAAGACACAGTTGCCTTGCATCTGGTGGACCAATGCCCTCCAGATCCCTTTGCAAAAGCCCTTGGATCTCCAGAGGGTTCTGCTCCGTCTGTGGAGCTCCTGGTGGTTGGAGGTCTTCATTTTCTTTCTGCCCTTGGAGCTGTTGGTTGTCTTCCTGCGTTTCATTGGTGGCGCCTAGATCCTTCTGTCCAAGCTTCTGAAGGTGTGAGACCTCCTTGTCTCTCAACATCTTCTGCACAGAAGATCCATCTTCATTCTTTGCAACCGATGTGTCCTGCAGAAGGTTCTTCATCGCCTGTGTAGTTTCACAAGATGTGATGTTTTCCAGCGCTTGGTTCTCAGGGACCTGAGGACAACCCTCTGCGTATCTCAGAGACTGGGGAGTTTCTAGTTCCTTTGAAGCCTGGCACCCAAAAGTGTGTGATCTTGACAGTTCCTGGGGCTCGAGAGACTTTGATTTCCTTAGCAGAGCTGCCTGAAGCTGAAAGGTTTCTTGCACATGGAAAGTTTGGGAAGATCTTCCCAGGGTGCCTTCCACCTCAGAGTGCAGGTCATCCATCTTGACCCCACAGCACTGTGATTCACAATGTCCCTTGGGATCCACAGTTCCCTGGAGCTTGAGGTTCTCAGGATCTCTATGTGGTGAGCTCTCAGGTGGCCCCATCAGCTCACGGGATTCAGACGCTCTCTCCAAGCGGCTCTGAAGATGAGAAGGGCTTTCTGCACCTGGTCCCTGAGGCTGAGATGACCGTGATGTGCTCTGGGCCTCTGAGGCCTCCAGACTTCTCTCTTCCTGAGATTCAAAGGTCTGAGTCTCGCTTTTTGGTTTCATCTGGAGATCTTCCTGAACCCGAAAGGCTGTGGTCTCTGGCTGCCTTTGAACTCTAAGGGACTCCTGCTCCCTCAGTTTCTGTGGCTTCTGGGTCTGAAGATCTCTTGGGTCAAGAGACTTTGATTTTCCTAGTAATCTTCCTGGGGGCAGGAGACATTCAGTCCTATTGTGTCCCTCTAGGGCTGAGCAACCATTATCTTCAATCCTCCCTAGAGCCTCAGCCCTTTCCAGCCTCAGCTCCTTTCGGGAATGGAACTGCGCCTCACCTGAGGGACCACAATCTTTTGTATCACACCCCTGGAGTTCCTGGCATGGATGAACGTGACAGCAGCCAACTTTGTAGGAGCCACACATTTTGGGCCCTTTTCCTTGTGGCAGAGAAGACCCCCGTTTCTCCTGCGTCTTTGGGGATCTCTTCACATCTTGGGGACCTTTTGCTGTCAGTGGAGATTTCTGGACAGGAACAGCCCTTGTCTCCTTCAGCACATCACGGGCCTGAGGGGTTTTCCTGGGGGTTTGAGTTGCTTCTGCCCTCCGCAAGCCTTGAGACCCCAAGCCTTGTGAAGCTGGCAACTTGGAGTCCACCTCAGGGAGAGTTTCCTGAGGCTGTGGAGATTTGGGGGCCTTCTTTTCCTTCTCCAGCACCTGAGAAGTTTCTGGTTCCTTTGGTTCCTGGGGATAAACAATATTTTGGTGCGCACGTTTCTTCAACTTCTGGGCCTCTGGCTGTAGCACCCTCTGGAGTTGGGCTGCTGGGGACATTTCTGTTTCCTGGGGCTGAGGAGAGACCGACAAATGTTGTGTCTCTTGCTGGGCCAGCTCCAAGGCCCACCACAGAAGAGGAGGTGTTTCTGGACTGCTACGTTTCTGATGCTGAGGAACCCTTGGGTTCCCTTCTGGCCCTGACTGTGGCTGTGTGCCATCATTCCCTATGTCTGTTTGGGTGGCCTGTGATCTCCTTGGTTCTTTTAGGATTTGGGGGCTCTGGGAGGTTATTTGTCCCTGCTGCCCATAAGAAGCATCCTTCTCTCTCTGGATCTGGGTCTGAAAGGGACGTGGCCTCCTCAGCTCGAACGATTTTGCCTTCAGTCCTAGGATCCTCCACAGGAGAGGTGGAGATTCCAGGCTTCTGTGTTCCTCAGGCTGGAGAACCATTTCGGGCATTCTCTGGGCCCGAGACATTTCTGGAAACTTCTTTTTGTCAGGCTGAGGGGCCTGTGGAGCCCCCGATCTTTGTGAAACCGTCCCTGGGTCCTCTGATGGCTCCAGCTCTCTTTGTTGTTGTTGTGCTTCCTGGCTCTCAGAAGCTGTTGTCTTCTTCAGTAGGGTTCCCTGGTCTTGGTGTGCTTCCAGCTCCCTTGTTTCTTGACCTGGAAAGGTCTCCCTCTCCCTTAGAACTGGACCACATAACCTCTCAGGTGGAGCCCTCTGAGCTGGCAATGCTCCATTTTCTGGCTGGGCCTGAGAGGCCTGATCTTCCCTCAGTTCCTGAAGAGTACAAGTATCTGGAGCATTCCATCCCTGGGGCCTATGAGTTTCTGGTCCCACCGGTGGTCTTCTCTGTGACAGAACCATCAGTGACTTCTTCAGCTTGTGCTCTTCTGATTTCCTCATCTCAAAAGATTTTGACTTCAGTTCCAGAGCCCCCCACAGAAGAGGAGGAGACTCTGGTTTCTGGTCTCTCTGGGGCTGAGGACCCCACATCTCTTTTTGTGGCACAGTCTCTGGAGTCTGTGAGTCTTCCAGACTCTTCGTGTCACAGGGCTGTGATTCTCCTGAATGTCTAGGCCATCCCAGCTCCCTCTTGGAAATTTCCTCGCTCTGAAGTATTTGTTGACTTCTCTGTGGAGATTTTTCAACTAGACGGGTTTCCCTCTCCCTCATTTCTTGAGACATTTCTTGTCTCTGTCCTTGGGTGAGAACATCTGATTGTCCCACCAAGGTTTCCTTCATCTTCTGACGATAAAGTATGCTCGGCTTTGGAGCCTCTGGTCGCGGCCTTGAACTCAGAAAGACATCTTTTTTCCTCATCTCAAACGATTTTGCCTTCTGCCACATAATTCTCCACAGAAGAGGCGGAGATTCTGGACTTCTGCGCTCTGGGGACTGAGGAACCTGTGTCTGCCTTTGTGGAAGTATGACACCCTTTGCTCCCTCAGATGAAAAGTCCTGTGCTTCGTTCACATTTTGAGGCCTAGTAACCCTCACCCCTTTCTGGACCATCCCTTGCTCTTGAAAGGCCTCCTGAGGAAATTCCTGATGGCTCTGTTGTTCCTTCTTTGCTTTCTTCGCCTCAAAGTCCTCTGGTTCCTGGCAATCTTGAGCCTGAACAGCTCCTGCACCCATTTGTGGGTGCAGGGGCTGGGTGCCAGCGACATGCGGCTCCCTCAGTTCCTGGGGTTGAAAAGCCCACGACCTCCTCAGCTCAAGAGACTTTGACTTCCTCCACAGATTCCTGCAGTGAGGAGGGGTTTCAGGATGTGAAAGTTCTGGTCCTTGCTGGCCTTGTGGGGTTTCCAAGCCCTCCGTCTTCTCCTCAGCTTGGGTCAGCTCCTGTTCCTGCTGCAGGCAACCATGGGACCTTCCTTGAGGTCCTCCTGGGATGTGAAGGCCTTCCAGCTGCCTCACACCCTGTAACTTTGCCATCTCCTCAGATTCAAGACTCAACGGCTCTGGGACCTGAACGAGTGCGTCACGGCTTTCTGGGAACTTTTGACGCTGCGGACCCGCCCTCAAATCATGGCTCCTCAGACCTTCCTTCTCTGCCTGTGAAGTTCCCTCAACTTCCCATTCCTGGGGCTGAAGAGCTTGAGGATATCCACATTTCTGAGGTCCACATACCTCCTGCTGAATCTGTGGTGACCCCCATGGCCTTGCCCTGGATAAAAGCTGGGGCTCAAGAGATTTTGATTTCTTCCGGAGAAACCTCTGGAGTTGGGAGAGCTCTGGAAACCTCAGGTCCTGCTGGCACGGAATCTTGACATGTCTCGCGTCTGGATCCAGGGACTCCTTGTGGACATCTTTGTGGGTCTGAAGGACGTCCCACGATGGAGTAGCCTCTGACTCTCTCCATTCTGGGGGTTCGGGGAACTGTGTGCCCTGGGTGTGAAAGGCTATTTGACTCCTCTCACTGTGTGCGACTACTGGTTTCCCAGACGCAAGGGGCTCCCGCTGAGGTTCCAGATCTGACGTTTCCCTCGTTTCGTTTTCTTGAAGGGCTTCTGTTTCCCTCTGTGGAATATACTGGAGGTCACCATGAGTTTGGGCATCTACGGCTTCCATCTCCCTACCCTGCGCTCCTGGGAGGTGGGCCATCTCCAGTCCTCCATGTGGTGTTTGCTGAGGGATTTCCACATCCCACAACCCATGGGGCAGCGAATCCTGGCTCAACAGGAACTCCAGAGACCCCAGGGATTTTGATTTCCTCAGCAGCGCAACCTGTGTCTCTAAGGTATCAGGACTCAACTCCTGGAGCAGAAGGCCTTGTTCAGCCTGAATCTCTTTGTCCTGAGGGAGGTTCCGGTTGCCTCCAGGAGCTACGGAGCCCTGAGGGGCCTCTGAATCTTGAAATCCTTTTTGCTTCTCGTGTTGAGAAGTCTCCGGTTTCCTCCGCAAAGGCTCGCCTTCTCTCTCAGGTATCTCATCTGCAGTAAGTGCTTCTCCTTCAGATGGGGACGGTTCCTGGGTGAGGCGCAACTCCCGCTCCGTCTGCAGAGTTCCCTAGAAATCAAATCAAAGTTAAAGATTCAATGAAGTCCCATAAAACCAGATGTGAGCACCTCCTCCTTCTGGAAATGAATATTGAGGAATCAGCATTTCTGGATCTGTTATCTCTCTGGCAGGGACAGGCAGCGTGGGGGCCCTGCAGGTCTACAAAACCCATAATCCATAATCTGGTTTATACATATAAAACCAAATTTACTAGAATAATAGCTAAAATGGAGATAGACTTGTAAACATTCAAGCAACAAACATACATGTGCAAAACAAAGCCTGGAGATACTGTAAACACAGAGTGGATAAATGTACAACTCTAAACAAGTTACAAGTGCAACAAACGTTATACATACTTTATAATTTCCTTAAATGTCAAGATTCAATCAAAATCTGTCAGTACTTTTAAAGATATTCTTTGAACATTGTCCAATCTTCACTAAATTTCTGGTTAGAATCTCCTCTTATTCTCCCAGTCATCCTTGCAAGTTCTGAATACAGTCATACCTCGGGTTACAGACGCTTCAGGTTGCATTTTCTTGGGTTATGGACCCGCCAAAACCTGGAAGTACCGGAACGGGTTACTTCTGGGTTTTGGCGGTCGCGCATGCGCAGAAGTGCTAAATCGCACTTTGTGCATGCGCAGAAGCGCCGAATCACAACTTGCGTGTGCGCAGACGCAGCATTGCGGGTTGCGAATGTGCCTCCCGCACGGATCACATTCGCAACCCAAGCGTCCACTGTATTCTATCATCTTCGCTTGTCAATCAGTTTTTGTGGGGATTACATCACCTTACCAGTTTTTTGCTATTAAAATCCTCGCCGCTGTGGTTGCATACATGAAAAGGGTTCTGTGGGGGTTTTTTGTACATCAATAAAAAAGCCCCAAATATTGCACCCTCTCCCCATAGGGGAGTTGCTCCACCCCCTTGCTTGTTTTGGATGACCTTATCTGAAACTTTTGTACACGGAATTCCAAATCTGTGTACAGCCGACTTCTGGGGCTGCTGGAAGTTACAGCCCAGTAACTCCTGATGGGTCCCATGCACCTGAGGTTGCAATATTAATAATAATAATAATTTATTATTTATACCCCACCCATCTGGCTGGGTTTCCCCAGCCACTCTGGGCGGCTTCCAACAAAACACTAAAATACAACAATCTATTAAACATTAAAAGCTTCCCTAAACAGGGCTGCCTTCAGATGTCTTCTAAAAGTTTGGTAGTTATTTTTCTCTTTGACATCTGGTGGGAGGGTGTTCCACAGGGCGGGAGCCACCACTGAGAAGGCCCTCTGCCTGGTTCCCTGTAACTTGGCTTCTCGCAGGGAGGGAACCGCCAGAAGGCCCTCGGAGCTGGACCTCAGTGTCCGGGCAGAACGATGGAGGTGGAGACGCTCCTTCAGGTATACTGGGCCGAGGCCGTTTAGGGCTTTAAAGGTCAGCACCAACACTTTGGATTGTGCTCAGAAACATCCTGGGAGTCAATGTAGGACTTTCAAGACCGGTGTTATATGGTCTTGGCAGCCGCTCCCAGTCACCAGTCTAGCTGCCGCATTCTGGATTAGTTGCAGTTTCCAGGACACCTTCAAAGGTAGCCCCACATAGTGCGCACTGCAGTAGTCCAAGCAGGAGATAACCAGAGCATGCACCACTCTGGCCAGACAGTCTGCGGGCAGGTGGGGTCTCATCCTGCGTACCAGATGGAGCTGACTGCAACACTTCCATCTTCCCACACCATGGCACTGCCCCATGCCTTGGGCCCCGCTTCGTAAGTGGGTGGGTGAGCTTTCAGACTTACCCGTTGGCGGAGGGAGCGCTGTTGCTCCTGGGGAGAGGCGGGCTGCAAATCCCGGACCAGAGACGTCAGGGGTGATTCTTGCAGTCGGGCGAGGAGTTTCTCAAAGAGGGCAGGGCAAGCAGCTCCCTCCTGGGGGTGAGACGGCAAGTGGTGAGCCTGAGCGACCGAGTCACCTATTGCTGTGGGCTTGTGGGGTCAGTATGGATGATCTCCTGGCTCCCTTCCCATTCCTGGGGTCCTGCACCCAGTGAGGGTTAGAATCCAGTGGAGGATTCTGTTGCTGAACTAGCCAGGCAAGCTCTTATGTAAGACAAGGGCCTCAGCTGGCCACCTAAGTGTTACTCCTTAACTTAAAGAAAACAAAAGATATTATTGTGGTCTTTAGGAAATGTAAATCGAATATTCAGCCACTCATTATTGAGGGGAAGTGTGTGGAACAGGTCTCGGTGTTTCGATTTCTGGGAATGGAGTTGAGAGATGACCTAACAGCAAAGACCTGATGAAGAGAGCACAGCAGAGGTTATATTTTCTGAGAATCCTCTGGGAAAATAATCTCTCAAAGGACCTGCTGATGGCATTTTACCATTGTACTGCGGAGAGTGTATTAACTTATGGTCTGTGTGTGTGGTTTGGGAGCTGCACGGTCAGGAGAAAAACAGTGCTGTCCAGGGTTGTCAAGACTGCGGAGAGAATAATTGGGTGCACTCTTCCCACCTTAGATCAAATCTATGCTTCCAGGTGCCATAAGAAAGCTGCAGAGATAGCGCAGGATAGTGCGCACCCCGGAAATGATCTCTTTCAGCTTCTGCCTTCTGGAAGAAGGCCCAGGGTTATAAAGACTAGGACTAGCTGCCTGAGAAACAGTTTCTATCCAAATGCAATTTTGGTTTTAAACGCAGTGTAAGGAGTCTCTATGGGAATATATTGTATTCAATTATGGGGTATCAGAGTTTTTAGGGGGCTAACCAGGCTGGGATAGTTGGGATAGCAGGCTTGTTGGTTTTTGAATGTCTTATGTAGATTTTTTTCAATTTCGTTGTTCTGTATGGGACAATGACAATGAAGATTATCGTATCATATCGTAAGTGTTCCCGCCAGAATCCCAAAAGAACGAGCTAAGTTGCAAGAACTGCAGCTAAGTAATGTGGGAACTGAAGGGGAGCAGCTGTGTGCAGCTGGTGGCGCAGCAATGAAACTGCTAGCGCGTTTGCAAAGCTAAGCAGGGTCCAGTATGGTGACAGATTGGATGGGGGACCATGTGGTGTGATTCCTGCATTGCAGGGGGTTGGACTCAATAACCCTCAGGTTCCCTTTCATGCTATGTGAATTGCTTCTCAGCATTAAAACCCAGGTTGTAAACGTGTGCAAAATAAACCATATTTCTAAAAGACTGTAGTCTCTGCTGTACCTCCTTCCAAAGGAACACAGACTCTGGTTCAGGGCCAAGATCCCTGGAATTTTGCCACCCCTTGGCAGAGATGAGGGTGGCCTGCAATGCTGTGTGACGTGGGATCTCTGTTTCCTAGCGGAAAAGTAACCAAATAATTTAACCCCTGTGTTGCAAACAATATATCTGTAATATCCAAGGCAACACGATGACCAAGTACAACAATGCGATGTCAATATAAACTCTTTATATAATCTATACAGAACATTGCACAGTATGAAATACCGTATTTTTTGCTCTATAGGACGCACCGGACCATAGGAGGGGGAGAACAGGGGCGGGGAATTCTCCCCCTCTGTGCTCAGTGCCCCTTCAGCGAAGCGGTAGGAGAAACGGAGCCCCTTCCATTTTTCCTCCCCCTTCACTGAAGGGGCGCTGCACAGAGAGGGAAAGCTGCGCAGTGCCTCTCCAGCGAAGCGAAGCCAGGAGAGCAAGAGGGATCAGTGTGCACCGACCCCTCCTGCTCTCCAGGCTTCAGGCGGCTATCCGCAAGCCTTCGGAGCGCAGCGAGAACTCCCGCTGCTCTCCGAAGGCTTGAGGATAGCTGCCTGAAACCCCCAGAGCGCAGCGACAGTTCGCGCTGCGCTCCGGGGGCTTCAGGCTTCTCCTTTTTAGCCACGGGACGGGGCTGGGGTGGGGGAAGCCTGAGCTTCCCCCGACCCCAGCCCCCAAAACAGGTCCGGGAGCCGCGGTCCCTTCTCCCTCCTGGGGAAAGCCCGCAAGAGCCGCGCGGAGCTTGTGTGCGGCTCTTGGGGGCTTTTCCTGCCTGCCTCCCCCCTGCATTCGCTCCATAGGAGGCACAAACTTTCCCCCTTAGTTTTTAAGAGGGAAAAAGTGTGTCCTGTGGAGCAAAAAATACGGTATATAAAATGCACTCTCTGCAAAACCAAATAAACAGAAATCTTATAAATCTCTGAAAGTCACAAAATATGCACTCTTGGTGGATTCTCTTGAAAGCATAGAACGAAATGAAAGTCTTATAAGACTCTGAAAGTCTTTATAGACTATGCAAGTCTCTGAGAGAAGCAATGGGTCAGATTCTTATCTGGTGAAAACAAGCCGTAAAGCTTTTTTTTATGACGTCCAACGCTGCCAAAGTGGTCTGCAAGCAGACGTAGTGAACAGTGATTTCGGATATACCTGCTGTTTCATGGAATTGCTATGGAGTAGTGATCTCTGTTTATTTGGTTTTGCAGAGAGTGCATTTCATATATTTCATACTGTGCAATGTTCTGTATAGATTATATAAAGAGTTTATATTGACATCACATTGTTGTACTTGGAGCAAGAGCAGTCCAGCAGGGGGAGGTTGTGGACTCTCCTCCTTGCTTGGAGGTTTTTAAGCAGAGGTTGGACGGCCATCTGTCATGGATGCTTTAGCCGAAATTCCCGCATTGCGGGCGGTTGACCCTTGGGGTCCCTTCCAACTCTATACAGTTCTATGGTTCTATTGTTCGTTTCATGGGCCCTGAATCTTTTGGGGTCCTTGGAGTGAGGCTACTGGCTCTGCTCCCCCTTCCCACCCTCCACGTCTCGCTCACCCTGTCGCTCGGGATCCCAGACAGACTCTCCAGGGTGCGGCTGAGCTCCTCCTGCTGCTCTCGCTGTAGATCCACCAGCACCGCGACGGCACCGTCCTGCCATGTCCCCTCCGCCCCGCTGGCTCTCCCCGGCTGCTTCAGCATCCGGGCGATGGCCTCGCACAAGGCCGGCGACGGGTCCTCTCTGCTGCGCTCTGTGGGGCAAGACAGGCAAAAGGCGACGTCTTACGGGGAGAGGAAGGGAGACGAGTTTGCTTAGGGCTCTGTAGTGAACTTGGGAAATCCTGGTACGCCAAACGTTGGTTCACGCAGGAGTGAGGCATTGTGGGAGAGATAAAATTGTGGCCTTCTGGGGGAATGGGTGTTTAGCCTCACATACGCGGGTGGCGCTGTCGGTTAAACCACAGAGCCTAAGGCTTGCTGATCAGAAGGTTGGCGGTTCGAATCCCCGGGACGGGGTGAGCTCCCATTGCTCGGTCCCAGCTCCTGCCAACCTAGCAGTTCAAAAGCACGTCAAAGTGCAAGTAGATAAATAGGTACTGCTCCAGTGGGAAGGTAAACGGCATTTCCGTGCACTGCTCTGGTTCGCCAGAAGTGGCTTAGTCATGCTGGCCACATGACGCGGAAGCTGTACACCGGCTCCCTCGGCCAATAAAGCGAGATGAGCTATTGTTGCTGTGTGAGTATAGCTTTAGCTGGTTATATTTTAAGGTAAAGGTAAAGGGACCCCTGATCATTTGGTCCAGTCGTGGCCGACTCTGGGGTTACGGCGCTCATCTCGCTCTACTGGCCGAGGGAGCCGGCGTACAGCTTCCAGGTCATGTGGCCAGCATGACTAAGCTGCTTCTGGCGAACCAGAGCAGCGCACGGAAACGCCGTTTACCTTCCCACCAGAGTGGTACCTATTTATCTACTTGCACTTTGACATGTTTTCAAACTGCTAGGAGCAGGGACCGAGCAACGGGAGCTCACCCCGTCGCAGGGATTCGAACCACCAACCTTCTTAATGGCAGGTCCTAGGCTCTGTGGTTTAACCCACAGCGCCACCCGCTTCCCAGATAGTTATATTTTACAAAGTTTTTAATTTTTGTTTGTAACCTTCTAAGAAATGTGCAACTTTTTGAGCAGCTTGTTCAATAAACTTGGAAAAGGACGTTTTTGTCTTTTCAGATCATGAAGCTGAGGCTCCAATACTTTGGCCACCTCATGAGACGAGAAGACTCCCTGGAAAAGACCCTGATGTTGGGAAAGATGGAGGGCACAAGGAGAAGGGGACGACAGAGGACAAGATGGTTGGACAGTGTTCTTGAAGCTACCAGCATGAGTTTGACCAAACTGCGGGAGGCAGTGGAAGACAGGAGTGCCTGGTGTGCTCTGCTCCAGGGGGTCATGAAGAGTCAGACACGACTAAATGACTAAAGAACAACAACTCTGTGCCTTTGCTCGGGGAAGCTAAACTGGTGCCTTACCGTTTGGACACCTACCTGTTGAATTTCTGTCTGCGTCACGGTAAAGTGACTCAGGGCTGGGCAAACCTGGTAAATATTGAAGGGGGATTCTCCTTCTTGAACCCCGTTCGAGGGTGGTCCGGGAACAGAGGTGGAGGCAGCTTTGCCGTTTGGCTTGTGATTTGCAACAACCAGCGATCTCTCCCCTTTCCTGGCCAAGTCCTGCCGGTGTCTAGGAAGAATGGTTGGGGTGTCTGTGTGGATAGTCCAGCTCACTACAGGCTCCAACGGGCGAGGGGAGCGAGAGGCAAAAGTGCCAACAGAAAGTCAGAGCTGAATTGGCGGAAACGACTGGCAGAATCCGAGACCAGGGGGAAGAGTCGGTGGAAGAAGACTGAGAAAAGTTTAAAGACTATTTACAGAAATACTGTAAAATTAATGAATGTTAGAAAAACGTTGGAATGAAGTTATATGGCTTTAGTAGAAATGCTATAAGGAATTAAGTATAAATAGATTAATAGAGCTTTAAAGGGAAAAATATGGTTAGAATGTGTTAAGACAATTATAGGATAGAAAACAGAGGAAGATGGAAAGGAATTGCTGAAACAATTAACAGAAGTGGAATACAAAAAGGGAGGTGTGAGGAGGTCGAGGAAATAAGGGAAAGAAAGATAAGATGTTGAAACTGGATTGTGTTTTAAATGGTTTTTGTTTTGTTTTGTTTGTTTCTTTTATTTTGTATTGTATTGTATTGTATTTTTTTTCTTTTGGGTTTTTTGTAGTGTTGTGTTAAATTTGTTGGAAAACTAATAAATATTATTTATAAAAAAAACAAAAACAGAAAGTCAGAGCTGGTGTGACGTGGGGGTTTGTGTGCCGGGCCAGCAGCTGGGAGAGACCAGGGTTCAAATCCATGCTCCCCCAACCAGCTGGCAGTTAGAAGGACAAAAGCCAGAGTTGAGTGTGTCTGAGAGCTAGGAGCTGATAGGAGGCTGCTGGCTGAAGCCTCTGCTGGAGAGACATGATTGGTTTCTACTTGAATCTAAGGCTGTGGCCATGGGAGAACTTTTTGGGGTGGTTGTGTGTGTGTGTGTGTGTGTTTCATTAAATTTTCTGTTTTACAATTTAAAGTGCAGTATTTCTCGCTCCATAAGATGCACCTGACCATAAGACGCACATAGTTTTTAGAGGAGGAAAGGGGGAAAGCCCCATTTTTTGAGGATCAGCTCAAAGTTGTTGAGCTTACTTTGCAAAGAGAAAAAAAATCCTGTTTTTATGGGGTTCAACTCACAGTTCTGCAGCTTCTTTAGGAAAGGAAAGGGAGCCGTTTCTACAGTTTCCAGACAGTCCCATGTCGCTGGGGAAACAAACAGCCTCTGTCTGCAGAACATTCAACAATGGAGGCCTGGGCAAGAGCCAGCAATCGACCACACATTCGCTCCATAAACCACACAGACATTTTCCCTTACTTTTTAGGAGGAAAAAAGCATGTCTTGTGGAGCAAAAACTACGGTACTCCTTTTTACATCTTAAGATATCAGTGACTTCCCTTCTTCTCTTTCCATGGTTCATTTTACATATCTTAAATCCCTGCATATTTTACAAAAACTATACCATTCAGTATTCCATTATTGCATCCATCAAAACTTATTTACATTGTTGAAGTTATCTGAATGCTCATTTAATCTTAAAAAGACCGGAGGCCTTTTTATTAGGAATCATGACAACAGAAATTAAGAAGAAGGTTAGACCACCATTCATGTATGCCACAACTGCAGCCAGGATTCTAATTGCGAGAAATTGGAAAAGCGAAACCATCCCTTCGGGCAAGACAGGGAGGTGAGTCACCGGGGGATCAGGACCGGCTGTTACCCCATCAGAGATAAAAGGCGGTCGGACCCCGCCCCAGGTTACAGGACCAACATTGCTGCTTGCTGGAGCCTACCTGAGACCCTGTGACTGACCTAGCCTGGTTTTCTGCCTTAGCCCTGTTGGACTGACTCCTCACGGAATCCTTGGATTCGGGAGAACCTGAACTGCGTGGCTCGGGTTAACCCCCGGGCCCAGCAGAATGTGTAAATAAAGCCATATATCCTAAAGACACCACAGTCTCCACTGTCCCTCCTTCCAGGGAAAGCAAACCTGGGTAAGCGCTTGGTTTCTCGCTCTCTCTCACTCCTTCCATTGCTGTACCTGCTCCCAAGGAGGTTGGCTGCTTTCTGCCACGGCCTCTTTCCTGGGCACCCTCTGGCTCAGCAAGAGCCAACAAGATCTGTATCAGACAGGATCTGTCCCTCTGTTGCTGCAGCAGCAGGCGGTCCAGCAGCACCTGCTATGGGGCGAGAAGGAGAAAGACACATGGCCTCCGTGGCCCCACATCTACAGTTCTATTGTTCTACGAATGCGCTACCCAAGCCCAGGTGGCGAAAGCAAGGGGAGGAGGTTTCCATACTGGGGGCCACATTCAGCCAGGTCCAAAGGCCCTGACCTTGGATACGTAAAACAGCTGTGCATTTGAAGCAAGTTTCTTATTTTATGTGCCTTTTTCCATCTCGCCCTAATTCTGGCAGCGTTATTCAAACAGGGCAACCTGCCTCCTTTTAAAAACAACTCCCTTCTTTTGTGGGGATGTTCAGGGAGGCAGGAGATGATATATTGTTTAATAATATCCTTCCTAACTTGTGCTAGCAAGTTCCTTTACTTAGCAGAGTTTACATTCGCCATTTAAATGTACAAGCTGCTTCTCAGTATTTGGATTCCTTGTAATCCCCTTTTCTCCCCCTTAAAAAGAATAGACACGACATAATCTTCTGCAAAGTATATATAAAAGAAGTTTACTCACACATTCAGTTCACAGATGGATCCCTGAAGGCAGACTTAGCTACAGAGGATATACATGTGGAATCTACCCCATATGGGAATAGTCCCTTTGTGCATCTCTAGCTAAAAAACTGCTGGTCCTACGATGGAGAGGAAGTCAAAAGAGAGAGTGTGCAGCGTGCCTTGTTCTTTTGTGTTACCTGGGCAGGTAAGGTCACGCAACCTCTAATCACATGCAGAGGAAGTTTGTCCCAGCTCAGGAGGAAACAGGAAGTTTTCTACTGACTGGAGGAAACATTTCCCTGCATGTCCACTCTAGGAAAACAAAGAATGTTGTACCTGACTGCTATCTATGCGTCACATCCTACATCTTTGCCAAAGGGGTTTGCAAAAAGTAAAGCGCAACTTTATTGCTGGGCTGTGAAAAATGCGCAGCTTAAAGGCTCCTGCCATCCCAGCCTACCGGGAGGAGTGTGCCTGCCGCCTCTCTGAAGGATACACTGTTCTTCAACCTGTTGTATCACTGCATTAGTCATGAATGGTGCGTTTGACCACTCCCTGGGCAGTTTCCTAGCAGAATGTCCTCCCCAGAAAGGGATGTGCCCGTTTTCTCTCTGTATGAGTAACAGCTCTGGGCTTGCCTCGTTCCATTTGCAGGCACGCACAGATCAGCGACTCATGAGGAAGCAGAGAAGGGGCTCTTCTAAAGGCAGGAACCTGACAGCCACACTTGGGTCCTTTGTCTGCTATTCCATGTTCCCCTTCGCCTCTAGTTGGCGAGCACCAATATCCCATTTGGCTGATCATCCTGGTTTTACCGCCATCAATCTTCCTGGCGCAGGTTTGGCCTCCTGCCATGCCGATGCTGGTCCACTCCCTGCGGCAAGCCGCAGTCGAGCCAACTCCAGGTGCCGGGCTCCGGGTTCGATGGGCTGCGAGTCCCAAAACCTGCCAAAGGAAGAGTCACACGGAGTCAGCCTTGAATAGGAGCTGCTTGTCGTGATCTGAATTAGCATCTAAGCTGCTTGCCTTAGCTGTGATTCCTGCATTGTAGCGGGGCTGGGTCCCTTCCAAGTCTAAAAGTCTATTATTATTATTGATTTATTTACTGCTTACCTACCAAATCAGCTTTTTAAGTGGTTCGCAACTATAAAAACAATCTGTAATTAAAATACACAACACCATTGAGACGTTCTCCCTGTCCCAAGCAATGGCTTGCTTGTGTTGGCCACCCTGCACCCTCCCGGGAAGACCTGGGTAGACCCACTAAGGCCACCCGCCCCCCACCCACGGGCTTGTTGGGAAACTGTGTACTTGCAGCTACTCACACAGAGTCAATTAAGGTTTGGCAGACAGCCAGAAGGCAATCTGAAGGAGTAAGTCTGCCTGGTGATAACAGAGACATGGAGACCGCTCCCTGATTGGTCAAGCTCTCTCAGGGGAGTGATAATTAATGGCCTACTAAGTGGAATGTGTTAGTTCAGAGCTCAGTGTTCAGAGTTCTGTGTGTCAGCGTAGGAGTTGTGAGTCGTGTCAGAGAGAGCTAGCTAAAGATCCATGCTCTGTTCCTGTAAACAGTCCACTGTATATAATAAACACGTAACTACAAGTTCCTGGTTCCTGCTTCGTCTGTCCTGTCTGCAGCCAAGTCGCCAATTGCTTCCGTGGATTCTGCGTTTACTCTGCTAGGTCTGGCTAAGGTCCTGCAACTAGTCGGAAAGTTGCGAAACACCAAATAGGTTTGGCCAATAGGGCTCACCTTTCTCCCAAGAACAGCTCTATCGCAAGCAGAGCAGCTGGGAACGACGCCTCCTGGTGGACGAGCTCTGTCTGTGCATGCAGATGCAACAGTTGGCGCGAGGTTTCTGGGTTGCTGCAGAGAGAGGGGGGGCAGCATAGGGGATCCATTACCTCAGTGTTGCCTGCACTGAGGTGCCATTTGGGATCGAACCTGCGACCTTCTGCATGGGTCTCTGGTGCTCTGCCACTGAGCTATGGGCCTTCACTTAATGGGAAGGCAAGTCAGGGCCTTGATCCATCTCGCTCTGTACTCTCTACACCAACTGGAAGGCTCAGCACAGTTGTCCCTGAAATATAAGTCTGGGGAGTCTCTTTCTCTCTAGTTCCATGCCTTGAGGAGATGTTTTGCATGCATCTAGGCTGCATCAACAGGGACATGGGTGGTGCTGTGGTCTAAACCACAGAGCCTAGGACTTGCTGATCAGAAGGTCGGCGGTTCGAATCCCCGCGACGGGGTGAGCTCCCGTTACTCGGTCCCTGCTCCTGCCAACCTAGCAGTTCGAAAGCACGTCAAGGTGCAGGTAGATAAATAGGTACAGCTCTGGCGGGAAGGTAAATGGCATTTCCGTGCGCTGCTCTGGTTCGCCAGAAGCGGCTTAGTCATGCTGGCCACATGACCCGGAAGCTGTACGCTGGCTCCCTTGGCCAATAAAGCGAGATGAGTGCCGCAACCCCAGAGTCGGCCACAACGGGACCTAATGGTCGGGATCCCTTTACCTTTACCTAGGCTGCATCAACAGGGACGCGGGTGGCACTGTGGGTTAAGCCACAGAGCCCAGGGCTTGCCGATCAGAAGGTCGGCAGTTCAAATCCCTGTGACGGGGTGAGCTCCTGTTGCTCGGTCCCTGCTCCTGCCAACCTAGCAGTTTGAAAGCATTTCCGTGCACTGCTCTGGTTTGCCAGAAGCGGCTTAGTCATGCTGGCCACATGACCCAGAAGCTGTCTGTGGACAAACACCGGCTCCCTTGGCCTATACAGGGGTACCTCAGGTTACAGACTCTTCAGGTTACAGACGCTTCAGGTTACAGACTCCGCTAACCCAGAAATATTACCTCGGGTTAAGAACTTTGCTTCAGGATGAGAACAGAAATCGCACGACGGCGGCGCAAGGTCCCATTCGCTAAAGTGGTACCTCAGGTTAAGAACAGTTTCAGGTTAAGAACGGACCTCCGGAACGAATTAAGTTCTTAACCTGAGGTACCACTGTAGAGTGAGATGAGCGCACAACCCCAGAGTCATCCGGGACGGGACCTAACAGTCAGGGGTACCTTTACCTTTACCCAGGCTGCATCAACCGAAGTCTAGCGTGCAGATCAAGGGAAATAATAGTCCCACTCTGTTCTGCCTTGGTCAGACCACACCGGGAATACTGTGTCCAGTTCTGGGCACCCCAATTTCTGAGGGGTGTTGAAAAGCTGGGAGGTGTGCAGAGGAGGGCGACAAAGATGATCACGGGTCTGGAAACCAAGCCTTATGTCAGGGACCGTGCTGAGAAGGGTTGCACTGAGGAAGAATGGTGGGAGACACCCCCTTCCCTTGGATCCTGAATCTTCCCAGGAGCAGGACAGTATAGATTTGGAACAGTGGTTTGCAGAGGGGCACAGTTCAGAAGGCAGAAGCTGGGAAATACTGGATGGGGAACAGCTAGGAGAAGAAACACTGGAAGGGAGAGGGTTAACAGATTCACAGCATTCCTCCACCGCCCTCCCCAAGGTAGAAGAGCTCAGAAAGTCTGGGAACCAAAAGAGCAGAGGGTACAAGCTCAGCTTACAAGACGTAGGCGTGACGTAGATTAATAGGGATGGAGCCTTAATTGGGAGCACTGCCATTCTAGGAAGAACGGGTTCTTTTCTCTCTCGCAGTGATTATTAAAGAATCTAACTGGTAAGACGTTCCTTTCGTTTGATCTCTTCTTATTTAGAGGTCCTGGGCCCTAAGGAAGTCAGATTATCCTCCACCAGGGCCAGGGCCTTCTCAGTGATGGCTCCGACCTGGTGGAATGCTCTGTCCCATGAGAACAGGGCCCTACAGGATTTAACCTCCTTCCGCAGGGCCTGTAAGACAGAGCTATTCCGCCTGGCTTTCAATTTGAACTTAGCCTGATCTTTTATTCCCCTTCCTTCCCTCCCCTCCCCTTTTTATGAAGATTACCTGCTCTGGGATCCCACAGCTAATTCTCCCCTGGTCTCCTCGCTGGCCCAAATAGACTAATTTAGCCAGCTAGCCCTGGTGATCACCTAATGTTTATTGGATGGATTTCCCCCCAAATTGATTTTTGAATTCTGAATTTATCGTTATTCACGTTTCATACTGTATTTTATGCTGTTTTTTGTTGCCTCAATTAAGTGTTTTAAATTTGTTGTTAGCCGCCCTGAGCCTGGTTTTTGAACCGGGAAGGGTGGGGTATAAATAAAAAATTATTATTATTATTATTTACTTCCACGGGGGAGAAAGCTGATTCCCCGAACCCTGACACATTGTGAGGAGCGCTTGAAGGAGCTGGGTATATTTAGCCTGGTAAAGAGGAGACTGAGAGGAGATATGGGAGTCATCTTCAAATATCTGAAGGGCTGTCACAGGGAAGAGGGAGCAAGCTTGTTTTCTCCTGCTCTGGAGGGTAGGACTCAAATCCGTGGCTTCAAGTTACAAGAAAGGAGATTCTGACAGGAAGAACTTTCTGACAAAGCTGTTCCTCAGAGGAATGGACTCCCTCAGAAGATGGTGGGCTTTTCTTCCTTGGAGGTTTTGGAACTGAGGTTGGGTGGCCAACTATCAGGGATGCTTGAGCTGAGATTTCTGCATTGCAGGGGGTTGGACTAGATGACCCTTGGGGTCCCAGCTCTACAATTCTACAATTCTATGCAGAAGGTCACCGGTTCAGGCCCCAACATCACCACAACAGAGCTGAGAAAGGCCCACAAGATTGTGGGATGTGAAACACAAGAGCAGTCAAGTACAACATTCCTAGAGTGAACATGTTTACACATGGGGAGGAATGTTTGTCCAGCCAGCAAGTCAACTTCCTGTTTCCTTCTGGGCTGGGACAGACTTCCTCTGCATGTGACTATAGGTGGGCGTGGCCTCACCTGTGCAGGTAACGACAAAAGCACAGGGCAGGGCAGCCATCTCTCTTTGACTACATGCATCGAAGAAGCAACATCTGCTTAGCCAAAGATGCTCTCTTGGCTTCTTTTTCTACTTCTATAAAAGTATAAAAAGAGTTTACTCACTCACATTCTGTTCACAATTGGCTTCCGGCCAAGAGAGGACAAAGGGGACTGTCTCCTTATGAGATAGTTTCCAGGTGTATGTTACTTTTCTAAGCTAAGTCTGCCTTCTGGGATCCAATTGTGAACAGAATGTGAGTGAGTAAACTCTTTTTATACTTTTATAGAAACTGTGTCGTGTCTTATCTTTTATGCGGGAATAAGGGGGAAATACCAGAACAGTTATTATAGAGGCTTTAGTGAGCCCGAGCAAATGCATCCGCTGAGTTTAAAAAGGGGAATGTTACTCTGCTAAAATTGTGAACTTGTTAACACAAGTTGGAAAGGCTATAACCAAACAATATATCCTCTCCTGCATCCCTGAACATTCCCACAAAGATGACATGGAAAAACAACTTGACACTTTCTGCTCTGGAGTCATGTCCCTCTTCCAAACCTCACCTGCCGCCCTGGAGGTGCCGGTGGGTCAGCAGAGCCGCCGTCTCTGCCTGCCTCCTGCGCCGCAACTGTAGGAGGGCGTGGGCGGCTGTGCCCTCTGTGGCCGAGGGGTCGAGGGGTCCCCCATTGGTGTCGCCCGCCTTCGGTGCCCCAGATCTGGTGAGCAAAAAAGGTTGCACAAAGTTGGAAGGTTCAGGACAGATAAAAGAAAGCAATTCTTTGTGTGGCGCAGAGTTAGCCTGTGGAACTCCCTCCCACAGGAGGGATTAGACACATTAATAGTGCAGAGGGCTAAGGATGGCTGCTGGTTATGCTCTTCCTGCAGTAATAATGTTTCCCAGTCAGAAGGTCGGCGGTTCGAATCCCCGCGACGGGGTGAGCTCCCGTTGCTCGGTCCCTGCTCCTGCCAACCTAGCAGTTCGAAAGCACGTCAAAGTCCAAGTAGATAAATAGGTACCGCCCCGGCGGGAAGGTAAACGGCGTTTCTGTGCAATGCTCTGGTTCGCCAGAAGCGGCTTAGTCATGCTGGCCACATGACCCAGAAGCTGTACGCCGGCTCCCTCTGCCAGCAAAGCGAGATGAGCGCCGCAACCCCAGAGTCAGCCACGACTGGACCTAATGGTTAGGGGTCCCTTTACCTTTACATTCTGCATGGACTGGTTGCATGGCCAGGTGTGCAAATGGCTTGAGATACCTATTAGGTCCATCAATTACCATATAGCATATATTCCACACAAAAAACAGTGACCATTTGTGGTTGACAAAGGACAGCTGGACATATCAAGGGCCCCATTACCTTCAGTAGCTTAGGGTCCCATCAAACCTAAATCTGCCCCTGGTCCCCATGCCCCCAGCTGACTTTCACACATGCACCGAGCGCACCTGACTTCGTGCTGCGCCCCAGGCAGGCTGGAGAGGGGCAGGATACTTCCTTCGCGCAGGCCGAAATCCACCAGGGTCTCCAGCTCAGAGATCTTGTCCTCTTTTGCGGCCTGAGACAGGGAGGTCCAAACCGGATGCCCTGCAGTGGGGAGGAGAGAGAGAGAGAGACTCTAAGTCTACATGTTCAGTTGGCAGAGCATGAGACTTATACTCTCAGGGTTGTGGGTTCAAGCCCCACATTGGGCCAAAGATTCCTGCATTGCAGGGGGCTTCGACGTGTTGACCATCGAGATCCCTCCCAACTCTACAATTCTATGTAGATGTTACATGGGCAAAACCACTAGAATGTCCATATTACGCAAATCCAGTTGAAAAAATGCGTAAACATAATAGGCTGTATAATAACAATTATTTATTATTTACTAGAAACTACTTCTCAAAATTAGGGACGCAGGTGGTGCTGTGGGTTAAACCACAGAGCCTAGGGCTTGCCGATCAGAAGGTCGGCGGTTCGAATCCCCGTGACGGGGTGAGCTCCCGTTGCTCGGTCCCTGCTCCTGCCAACCTAGCAGTTCGAAAGCACATCAAAGTGCAAGTAGACAAATAGGTACCGCTCTGGCGGGAAGGTAAATGGCGTTTCCATGCACTGCTCTGGTTCACCAGAAGCGGCTTAGTCCTGCTGGCCACATGACCCGGAAGCTGTACGCCGGCTCCCTCGGCCAATAAAGCGAGATGAGCGCCGCAACCCAGAATCGGCCACGACTGAACCTAATGGTCAGGGGTCTCGTTACCTTTACCTTACTTCTCAAAATTAGATACAGCTTCTCATAATGTCAAAATCAACATCGTGACATAACGTATTAAAATGCAGCTTATTCAGTTGACCACCGAGTCCAGTACGTACAAAATGCTGGCACTTATTCGTGATAGATTTGACCATGACTGAAAATCTATCACGAATAACTTCCGTGTAGCTGTTATATACAGTGACGAACCACGCAAGGCTGATGGAGCCCCTTGAGGCGAATCAGGGGAATATCCAGGAATCCTGGTCTTGTCTGCCTGTGCCAGCATCTACCAGTGCCAGTATTCAAATGATTTAATGTTGTAGTCTTCTAAGGAATAGGTCAGACAGAAAAGGACAAGAGAAGATGAACAAATTAGAATACGAATGTACTGTGGGACTGACTTTTCCCAGTAGTATGGAAGTGAGAGCAGGACCATAAAGAAGGCTGATCGCCGAAGAATGGATGCTTTTGAATTCTGGTGCTGGAGGAGACTCTTGAGAGTCCCATGGACTGCAAGAAGATCAAACCTCTCCATTCTGAAGGAAATCAGCCCTGAGTGCTCACTGGAAGGACAGATCCTGAAGCTGAGGCTCCAAGACTTTGGCCACCTCATGAGAAGAGAAGACTCCCTGGAAAAGACCCTGAATTTGGGAAAGATGGAGGGCCCAAGGAGAAGGGGATGACAGAGGATGAGATGGTTGGACAGTGTTCTCAAAGATACAAACATGAGTTTGACCAAACTGCGGGAGGCAGTGGAAGACAGGAGTGCCTGGCATGCTCTGGTCCAGGGGGTCACAAAGAGTCGGACACAACTAAACAACTAAGCAACAACGGGACTGACAAAATGGGAATTGCATTTTGTAAATACTGGACTTGGTGGTCAACTGAATAAGCTACATTTTAATACATTATGTCACGATGTTGATTTTGACATTATGAGAAGCTGTATTTAATTCTGAGGAGTAAGGTAAAGGTAAAGGTACCCTTGACCGTTAGGTCCAGTCACGGACGACTGGGGTTGCGGCGCTCATCTCAGTTTACTGGCCGAGGGAGCTGGTGTTTGTCTGCAGTTTTTCTGGGTCATGTGGCCAGCAGGACTAAGATGCTTCTGGCAAACCAGAGCAGCGCACGGAAACACCATTTACCTTCCTGCCAGAGCGGTACCTATTTATCTACAGTCATACCTCATGTTACGGCCACTTCATGTTATGTTCTTTCAGGTTACGTCCCGCGGCGACCCAGAAGTACTGGAAAGGGTTACTTCCAGGTTTCGCCGCTCGCGCATGCGCAGATGTGCAAAATGATGTCACACGCATGAGCAGAAGCGGCGAATCGCAACCCGTGCGTGCGAAGCCGCGCCGCTACGGGTTGCGTTCCTTTCATGTTGCGAATGGGCATCTGGAACAGATACCGTTCGCAATCAGAGGTACTACTGTACTTGCACTTTGACATGCTTTTGAACTGCTACATTGGCAGGAGCTGGAACTGAAAAATGGGAGCTCACAATTTTGAGTAGTTTCCAGTAAATAACTTTACAACTGTTATTATACAATTTATTACGTTTATGTGTTTTTTCAATGTGGTGTTACATGGGCTTCATCTTTTAGCTTTATCTCAATATTAATCATTTGTTCAGTGTTTATAACTGAGAATTTTAGTCCTTTGAACTGCTTTGTGTTTTTACAATCAAGTGGCGTATACATTTTGCTAAAATAAAAAATCCACTAACCTAGTCGATCACCACATCTTGGTGGCCCTTTCTCTTAAGCGAGGGGATGTCTGGATGTCCAGCGTACTGGCTTGCACTTCCCTCATCTGGGTCATCTCTGCCCCCTTCCTTCCTGTTCTGCCCCCCTGCTGTGCCCCACATTCTCACCATAGTGTGCCTGCAACATCTCAGCGCACAGTTTCCTCTGGAGAACCCGGTATTTCCGCTCCAGCGCTGCCAGCACCCCGGAAGCCTCCTCCGCAAGCAGGGTGCTCAGACCCCCAGAGTCCCACCTGTGGCAGAGAGAAGGTGTCGGCCCCAGCTGGATGTGTCCCTCTCAGCCTTGCCGCTGCGGAGATCCATCAACCTCTGCTCCTCTGACGTGCGTCTGTGACTCAAGCCGAGCAGCCTTGAGCACACATTACTCAGCAGTGTAAACTGCGCAACAGTTGAGGCTTGAGGTGTGGACACATACTAAACTACGCATTTATTATACATAAATCAGGACAAAGAAAACATGGCATCTCTCCTTGCCGTCTTCTCTGAGAGAGACCGAAAACAAAAGCAATACAGAGCGGAAGTTCCGCTCACAGACTCCAGCAATCTGTGCCGGAATGTAAACAGACATGTGACATGCAATAATCCCACACATCTGCAGCTCGGGGGGAGTGTAATCCCAACAGAAGGCACCTGCGTTGCTGTTCTGAGACCTTGCTCCTCTTGCAAAGGCATATATGTGCCTTGCAAGGTATGCCCTCTGCTTTGACACTGGCAAGAGTGAGAAAGGCATCATTGAAAGGCATTTTGCATGCTGGCAGTCTCGTAATGGGAGGTGACGGGAGAGCCATCTTCCAATATCAGAAGAGATGTCCTATGGGAGATAGATCAAACTTGTTTTCTTCTGCTCTGGAGGGTAGGACTCAACCAATGGATTCAGGTTACAGTGGTATCTTGGTTCTCAAATGCCTTGGTACAAAAACAGCTTGGAACACTGCAAACACTGCAAACCCAGAAGTTTGTGTACCGGTTTGCGAACTTTTTTCAGAAGCCAAACATGCTCTGATTTGAGTGCCACACTTCCAATTTGAGTGTTACGCTGAGATCTCTCTGTTTTTGCTATTTATTTGACGTTTTTGTTTTCGCGGCTCTTTTTGTTTTGTTTTTGTGACTGTGTGGAACCCAGTTCAGCTACTGATTGATTGATTGATTGATTGATTGATTGATTGATTGATTTTGTGACTGCAGTACACTATTGTTTTCGTTTTATGGATCAATGGTCTCGTTAAATGGTAAAATCCATGTTCAATTGCTGTTTTAGGGGTTGTTTTTAAAAGTCTGGAACGGATTAATCCGTTTTGCATTATTTCTGTGGGAAAGCGTGCCTTGGTTTTGAAACACTTTGGTTTCAGAACGGACTTCCGGAACAGTTTGAGAGCCAAGGTACCACTGTACAAGGAAGGAGATTCTAACTCAAAAGCAGGAAGACGTTTCTGGCAGCAAAAGCTGTTTGGCAGTGGAACAGACTCGCCAGGGACTTGGATGGTAGCAGACTCTCCTTCCTGGGAGGTTTTTGGATGGCTGAGATTCACGGTCTCTTCTGACTCTACAGTTCTACGATTCTAAACCATTTTGTGGTTGTTTTTGAAAAAGCCAAACGGGATATAAATTCCAATAAATTAAACAAAACAAATAAGGCTATGATCCTCTACAAAAACCCGCCAGGAAAGAAAGAAAAAAGTAGATTTTGCAATTAAAGGCAGAGCTCAGAAGAAGTCTCCTCCAATGCCTTTGCTTGAAAAATTGCTTGTTTTCCTCTCCCTTTCTCCATTTCTGCAAGCCCGGCAAGGCTTTTGATGATCAGATGTCCATCACGTGACATCGCAAGACCTTGTGAGATTGACAAGCGAGTTTCCCTGCCCACCTGTCAAAGCTGGCCTGCAAGGATGGAGGTTTCCTCCTGCTGCTGCTATAGACCCTTACTGGAGAGTAAGTCCCTTCCTCTGAGCAGGGAGACCTACCGTTCCAGCGGCTGCTCATCCCATCTCCTGATGCCCCAGCGATAGAGGGGGCTGCTCGCCCTTCCACTTGCACCCTTCGAGAGATAGAAAACCTCAAGTCAACGTGGCTGAGCAGGACTTGAATTTCACACCAGGGGATGGGGACCTGCATTCAAAGCCTTCGTCTGCCAAAGAATTAATCCATGGGCCGAGTTACTTTCTCCTTACCCTGATCTGTATTAAGGGCCTACCTTACAGGACTGCTGTTGCCAGGGCAAACCCAAACAGTGCCAAACAGTAATGTGCTGTTCAGTTTTCATAACTCCTGATGAGGCACCACGTATACAGTGGTACCTCGGGTTAAGTACTTAATTCGTTCTGGAGGTCCGTTCTTAACCTGAAACTGTTCTTAACCTGAAGCACCACTTTAGCTAATGGGGCCTCCTGCTGCCGCCACGCCGCCGGAGCAGGATTTCTGTTCTTATCCTGAAGCAAAGTTCTTAACCTGAAGCACTATTTCTGGGTTAGCGGAGTCTGTAACCTGAAGCGTATGTAACCTGAAGCGTCTGTAACCCGAGGTACCACTGTAGTTTCTGATTCCAAAGGGGGCCGTCCTTAGCTGCAAAAAGCTGCAAACTGTAGGCCACAGAGGACCACCCTTTTTCTGACATAATTTTGTTATTGATTTTCACAAGTTTTACAAACTTAGCTAAATTTCAATACAGTGGTACCTAGTGATGCGAACGGGATCCGTTCCGGAGCCCCGTTCGCATCCTGAATAGAACGTAAGACGCGATGGCGTGTCTGCACGGGTCGCGTTTTGCTGCTTCTGCACATGCGTGTGACGTCATTTTGAGCGACTGCGTATGCGCGAGCGGCGAAACCCGGAAGTAACACACTCCGTTACTTCCGGGTTCCCGCGGAGCGCAACCCGAAAGCACTCAACCTGAAGCACTTTCAACCCGAGATATGACTGTATATGTTTTTCTTAAAATTTTGACTTCCCAGCCTTACCTTTTTTGATTCCAGACTTCTACCTAACCTTTTTTTTTAAATTCCCAACTTATACCTACTGTTTTATATTACATATTTTTATCTCATACAGTTATCCTCTATTTCACTTATCATTGCTTTCATTCCGCTGCTCATAATTCGAACCCAGCCCTCATTTTCACTTGACTGTAACAGTTCTTCAAATAGTCAGAAAAGGGTCTCCACGCCTCCGTGAATAGTTCACCTCTTTTATCTGATAGAGGACCAGCTGATGGAAGCTATTGCTCAACAAGCTCCCTGGGTGGGGGAAGCCTGAGCGCAACCTGTAGCGGTGCATCTGTGAATGCGCAAGCTGCGATTTGCCGCTTCTGCGCATGCGCGTGACATCATTTTGCACGTCTGTGCATGCGCGAGCGACGAAACCCGGAAGTAACCCTTTCCGGTACTTCCGGGTCGCCGTGGGACATAACCTGAAAGAACGTAACATGAAGCAGACGTAACATGAGGTATGACTGTATCTGGCTTGTGAGACAGCTAATGTCCAGGAAAATGGCCTCTGGGCATGCTGGGGCGACGTTCAAGTGCATCTACACACAGGCAAAAACCCACAATAAATACCGTATTTTTCGCTCCATAAGACACACTTTTTTCCTCCTAAAAAGTAAGGGGAAATGTCTGTGCATCTTATGGAGCGAATGTGCGGTCGATCGCTGGCTCCCTTTCCGCCCCCTTGCCCAGGCCTCCATTGTTGAGTGTTCTGCAGACATAGGCCGTTTCCCCAGCAACATGGGACTGGCTGATTAGATTATCTGTCTGGAAACTGTAGAAATGGCTCCCTTTCCTTTCCTAAAGAAGCTGCAGAACTATGAGTTGAACCCCATAAAAACAGGATTTTTGCTATGCATGCTCAAATTAGCTCTTTGTAGTTTTAACTTTAGTAGTGATGTATGGAAGTGAGAGCTGGACCGTAAAGAAGGCTGGTCGCCGAAGAATTGATGCTTTTGAATTCTGGTGCTGGAGGAGACGCTGGAGAGTCCCATGGACTTCAAGATGATCAAACCTATCCATTCTGAAGGAAATCAGCCCTGAGTGCTCACTGGAAGGACAGATCCTGAAGCTGAGGCTCCAAGACTTTGGCCACCTCGTGAGAAGAGAAGACTCCCTGATGTTGGGAAAGATGGAGGGCACAAGGAGAAGGGGGCGATAGAGGACGAGATGATTGGACAGTGTTCTCGAAGCTACCAACATGAGTCTGACCAAACTGCGGGAGGCAGTGAAAGACAGGAGTGCCTAGCGTGCTCTGGTCCGTGGGGCCACGAACAGTCGGACACGACTAAACGACTAAAAAACAATAAGTTTTAACTTCTAACTTTGTCCCTACATGGGGGTTTTGAAATGCTCAGAGGAAATCTGATTGGTTCTTACGAACACTGTGTAAAAAGTTCTTTTGTGAATAAAACAACCTGGGCCGAGGGATGGAGAGGATAATTATTATTGGACCTCCTCCCAGAGTCATGCTGGTCAAGCCTCATGTATATTTTAGTCCACTCCTTCCTTGCTTTGGGAACGCTACATCCCGAGCCCTAGTCTGGCTTTCACAGAAAGCCATCCAAACTGATGGCCATCGCTGCCCTCCTGCAGCAGTGAGTTCCATAGCTGAGCTACTCCTAGGCAGCCCGCCCTCTCCCAACCACCGGGGCCCGATCCTGGTTCGGACGTTGCCGAGGCTCGATTCCCGAGCAGTTTCCATCCCAAGTTGGTTCCCGCTCCTACCTGCTCGCTGAAGCAGCTCCTTCTCAGCTCGGTGCGGGGTCTGTCCACGAGCAGGTGGGGTGGTCTGAAAAGCCAGTCCTTGTGGGGTGAGGGGGGGGGAGAAGCAAGAGGAAACCGGGTGAGGGGCCTGTGCAACTCCCCAGCCATGCAGGCAAGCTGGCACCCCACAATATTGCCCCCCTGCAACATGTGGGTCCTGCCTTGCCCCCAAACCCCATTAGCTCCTCCACCTAGGACCACCCGTCTACCACAAGGTGGAGAACCTCAGGCCCTCCGGGGGCAAGTGTGGCCCTCCTCATCTCACCGCCTGGCCCCCGGGACCCTTGCTGGGCCAATCCCCTCAGGCCCTCCTGGAGCGCGGGACATTTTGCCGCCTGAGGCCAAACGGAAAACTGTACATCGTCACGGAAAACCGCCCGAAACAGCTGGAGGCGACTGGAGGAAGCCCATTGCACTGGGAGCAGGTCTCTGGCCTGCCGCCTGAAGCCACCGCCTCACCACGTCTTGAAGGGGAACAGTTAGGATTACCCCAAAAACCCTAAAACTGTTTGTGAATCCCCCCCCCCAAGCCAGGCCTCAAAAGCCTCGCCTCAAGCATTTTTAAAAACTGCATTTCCTCTAAGGCAAAAAGCATTAGCTAAGCATATTCCTCTTGCTGTAACTAAAATACCGTAACAAAAGGTAGGGAACAGAGTCCATTGTTTTCTCAGAGCCTTTGGCCTTGCTTAGACTAGATTGCAACTTGCTTCTGTCCGGGAACCATGCCAAAGCACAAGAATGAAACATAACTGGAACACTCTGAAACCCCCCTTTCCTGGGAAGAGCCCAAAAATGGTCCCAAGACAGGAACTTTCTGTTCATGCTCAGGAGACACATGGGAGGAGAAAGGGGGAGGGAACTGGAAGGGGGATATATACTCTGTGCAAACGCATGTGAACTCGTGCTTGTTTTTGTGAGTTATCACACTTGCTCCTCTGCCCCCCCCCCCCGGATGGCAGAATAAAAGCTCTTTCTCTGGATTTAACCCCTTGGTGTCGTTTGGCTCCTTTCGTCCCTGCTCCTATCCATGGTTAAAAGGGCCTAGAAAGGCTACAGTCTCCTGCGTGGGACAGTCTCCTGTCTCCTCTATTTCCGCAGCCCAACCGTTACCTCGATGTCTCTCCAGGAGAAGCTGGGTCCCCGGCTCCTGAGGAAGTCTTGCCAGGCCTCGCCTGCAGGGTGGGCGTGTGGCACCTGGGCCAGGAGAAGCTCCACATCGCGGGCGGAGAGGTAGCCGTCGTGGTCGGAGTCCAGGAGTTGAAAATCCCAGTGCAGCTAGGGAAGGGTATCTCATATAGATATCTATGTACAGTCACACCTCGGGTTACAGACGCTTCAGGTTGCGTTTTTTCGGGTGATGGACCGCCGAAACCCGGAAGTACCGGAACAGGTTACCGTATTTTTTGCTCCATAAGATGCACCTGACCATAAGACGCACCTAGTTTTTAGAGCAGGAAAGAGGGAAAGCCCTGGTTTTTTTGGGGGGGGGGGATCAGCTCCCAGTTGTGCAGGTTCTTTTGCAAAGGGGAAAAGGCCCTTTTTTGAGGATCAGCTCAAAGTTGTTGAGCTTACTTTGCAAAGGGAAAAAATCCTGTTTTTATGGGGTTCAACTCACAGTTCTGCAGCTTCTTTAGGAAAGTAAAGGGAGCCGTTTCTACAATTTCCAGACAGATAATCTAATCATGTCGCTGGGGAAACAAGCAGCCTCCGTCCGCAGAACATTCAACAATAGAGGCCTGTGCAAGAGCCAGCGATCGACCGCACATTCGCTCCAGAAGACACACAGACATTTCCCCTTACTTTTTAGGAGGGAAAAAGTGTGTCTTATGGAGCGAAAAATATGGTACTTCCGGGTTTCGGTGGTCGCGCATGCGCGGACGCGCCGCTGCGGGTTGCGGATGCTGTGGGTTGCAAACATATATCTTGCATGGATCACGTTCACAACCCAAGCGTCCACTGTATCAGTATTTGAGCATTGATATTATGCAAGGGTCATGTTCTGTTGAAAACTGCCCAGCCGTCTTTGGAGGAAGAGTGGTACAGTGGTGTTCTCAAACGCCTTGGTACTCAAACAACTTGGAACCCAAACACTGCAAACCTGGAAGTAAATGTTCTGGTTTGCGAATTGTTTTCAGAAGCTCCGTTTTGAGTGCCACACTTTCGTTTTGAGTGTTACGCTGAGGTTTGTCTGTTTTTGCTATTTATTTTGCATTTTTGTTTTTGTGGCTCTTTTCGTTTTGTTCTTGTGACTGTGTGGAATTGATTGGTTGTGTGACTGTAGTACAACGCTTATTGCTTTCGTTTTATGGATCAGTGGTCTCGTTAGAAGGTAAAATCCATGTTAAATTGCTGTTTTAGGGGTTGTTTTTAAAAGTCTGGAACAGACTAATCCATTTTGCATTACTTTCTATGGGAAAGCACACCTCGGTTTTTATTTCAAATGCACCTCTGGGTTATTTGTGGGGCCTGCCTGGTGTTTTACATGAGTAGAATGTGTGCTTTTGTTTAAAATGCATCTCTGGGTTATTTGTGGGGCATAGGAATCCATTCATTATTATTTTTTTCAAAATATAGTCCAGTCCCCCACAAGGTCTGAGGGACAGTGGACCGGCCCCCTGCTGAAAAAGTTTGCTGACCCCTGAGCTAGACTAATGCCTGTCTTTGTAACTGAATTACTGTTTTAAGTCTTTCTGAACAAAGCTGCGTTCTGTGTGAGTTTTACCGTTTACAAGATTTGTGTGATGTTTTAAGGGGGGAGAGGGGAACGGAGGAAATACCAGGAGAATCCAGCCTGCCTTAAAGTATCCTGGACTAGTGATACTAGTGTCCCTATTTTCCAGGGACAATCCCAGATTTACAGAAACTATCCCAGTTTCTGATCTGATCCCGGAATTTCCCGCTTTTCCTTAGGACTTCCCCATTTAAATTGGAGAAATGTTGAAGGGTATGCAGTTATGCAACCCCCAAGCCAGAGATAAGTAACTATGCAACTTTTAGAAGACATCTGAAGGCAGCCCTGGATAGGGAAGTTCTTTAATGTTTAATGTTTTATTATGTTTATATATATATGTTGGAAGCTGCCTAGAGTGGCTGGGGCAACCCATTCAGATGGGAGGAATACTATTATTATTATTATTATTATTATTATTATTATTATTATTGGACATCCCTCTAAGAAATGCTGGAAATGAAAGGCTAAAACTAGCATACTTAAGTTTCTGGAGCCACCTGCCGAACTCACAAACGTGAAGAAGGAAGGGTAAAATCTAATAAATATATCCAGTGCTTTTTTTCCCCCAAAAAATAAAATGTTTAGGGAAACTCTCATTTTGACTCAAGAAAATCACCATTTTATATAGTTCAAATCGGGGGAAATAAATAAACGGACAGAAGTACGAAGATTCACAAAATATTTAGGGGTATGCGTACCCAGGGCTGGATTTCGGTTTGATGAGGCCCTCAGCTACTGAAGGTAATGGGGCCCTTTCTATGTCCAGCTGTCCTTCATCAACAACAAATGGTCGCTGGTTTTTGTGTGGAATATATGCTATATGGTAATTTATAGGTATCTAAAGCCATTTGCAAATAACAAATTGGAGCCTACACAACACAAAACACTGTTGCTGTATGTAGGTTTTATTTTATTTGTTTTTTATCTTACAGTGGTACCTCGGGTTAAGAACTTAATTTGTTCTGGAGGTCCGTTCTTAACCTGAAACTGTTCTTAACCTGAAGCACCACTTTAGCTAATGGGGCCTCCAGCTGCTGCCACACCGCTGGAGCACGATTTCTGTTCTCATCCTGAAGCAAAGTTCTTAACCCAAGGTACTATTTCTGGGTTAGCGGAGTCTGTAACCTGAAGCATATGTAACCTGAGGTACCACTGTATATTTTGGAAATGTACATCCAGGTGTTTTTTCCTTTAAATTTTTTGGGGGCCCCCAAGAGAGCGGGGCCCTAAGCTATAGCTTGTTTAGCTTATACGTAAATCCGGCACTGTGCATACCCCTGTGTCCCCCCAGAAATAATAATAATAATGATAATAATAATAATAATAATAATAATAATATTTATACCCCGCCCTCCCCAGCCAACACTCAGGGCGGGCTCAGGGCGGCTAACACCAAATATAAAACAATTGATTGAAATACAGCTTAGAAACAAGATTAAAATACAACATTAAAACATTAAAATGCAGCCTCATTTCAGTGGAAACTCAATCAATAACCTTTGGGGGGATAAAAACGTCAAGTCTTCACGGAATATTATTTCTACAGTGGTGCCTCGCAAGACGAAATTAATTCGTTCTGCGAGTTTTTTCGTCTTGCGAATTTTTCGTCTTGCGAAGCACGGTTTCCCATAGGGTATTAACGGTTTTAAGAAAAAGGAAACAAACTTGCAAGACGTTTTCGTTTTTCGTCTTGCGAAGCAAGCCCATAGGGAAATTCGTCTTGCGAAGCAACTCAAAAAATGAAAAACTCTTTCGTCTTGCGCGTTTTTCATCTTGCGAGGTACCACTGTACTTTCCTTCCGCTACAGGGTTTGCAGAGGCACCCTTTCGAAATGGAGCACCCCACCATTCAGCCCTGGTCAGAGGAGGATGAGAGAGAGAGAGAGAGAGAGAGAGAGAGAGAGAGAGACGAGAGAGAGAGAGAGGGAGGGAGATGGGGACCTCTGAACTCACCTGCTGCTTCAGGTAACACTGCTGCCCTGCTTCAAGCAATGCCTCCAGGAGCTTGTCGGAACAGCAGCCGTGCCACGCATGACTACCAAATACCTGTGAGGCAGAGAGGGCATGTTGGGCGCATGCTTGGTTATCGTCTTCCAAAGCAACTACTCTATTCCAAACTTAAAAATGGAAAGCGTAATGCTGGTGGTCAACAAAGGAGGTTTAAAGACTGTCTCAAGGCAAATCTTAAAAAAAAAATGTAGTACATGGGTAGGCAAACTCAGGCCCGGGGGCCTGATCTGGCCCAATCTCCTTCTAAATCCGGCCTGCAGACGGTCCGGGAATCAGTGTGTTTTTACATGAGTAGAATGTGTCCTTTTATTTTAAATGCATCTCTTGGTTATTTGTGGGGCATGGGAATTCATTCATTTTTTCCTCCAAAATATAGTCCGGCCCCCCACGTGGTCTGAGGGACAGTGGACCGGCCCCCTGCTAAAAAAGTTTGCTGACCCCTGATGTAGTATAAACACTGACAACTAGGAAACACCGGCCTGCGAGCGCTCCAGTTGGAGAACAGCCTTGACCACTAGTCAACAACACTAGTAATGTAACTAACATGATGGAAATATGGACAGATACAAAATATGGATTATGTAGTAATATGCAGTTGAAAATGTTGGCAATAGGATCCATGGAGGGGAAGGTGGAAAGTTGAGGGATTCAGAGAACTCTCTGTAGATGGTTATGTATTTGGTAATGCGGTAACTTTTGTAAAATCAAATAAAAATTATTTCTACAAAAAAAGGGGGGAATGGGAGGGACCCAAAGGATCACCTAGGACAGCCCTCTGCGGCCGGAGAAATCACATCTAAAGAGTCCCTGACAGCTGGCTATCCAACCCAGCTGTAAAGCAGTAATGCCAGGTGTGGAGCCTCCCTGGTCAAGAGCAGTGTACCTGTGCCCGTCGCTTTCCCCATATCCAGAGGCATCTCTTCTGGCCACAATGGGAAACCGAACGCCAGGGTGCTTGCAACCATTTGCAACTGTCGCAGGAACAGTTCATCATTCATTCAGTTTGTACAAACTTCACACACACACACTCACACTCACACACTACATACGCTATGCTTCTGTTATAAATTCATAGAAAATCAACCATACATCGGATCTGCACTGTTCCACTTTTATTTTACTCCATGAAGGAAGGACTACAAAATGGGGAAGGTTTGATACAGGGCAGCCATAATCCCTTGAGCATACCAGCACATACACAGGAGCCCTGCCCAGTTGCTATGCCAACCCTGATGGTCCCAGACAGAAGACCATCAAGATCACAAAGAACTTGCATATGGGAGTGGATTCAGCATGGACTGGAACAAAGGACAATGATCAGCTCTTCCCTCTGGGGGCAGGAAACGGCAAACTCCCTTTTGTCCTCTGGAATTGACTCATGGGGAGGGGGAAAGGAGGAACCAGCCAGGTGACAAGATACTCAGGTTACCTCCACAACTCCTCCCTCAACCCCTCCTTTTTGTGATGTAGTCTTAGGGGTGTAGTTTGGGGGATTAGTAACTAATAAAAGTTGGGGTCTTCTTTTGTTCTGGGCTTCCATTTTGCTTCATCTTGTTGCGGGTGGGAGTCCTGTTGTGACAGTTATTCAATAAAGGCCAAGCCTACAGGCTGCTGTTTTGCTCCAAGTTATCCTGGTTGGTGTCTTTGTTTTTGTCCAAGGGAGCCCTCAGATTTTTCCGTTAACACAATGCTTTGATGACGCGGAAAAGGGGTTGCGACCTCACCTGGTGAACAGCCGTCTGCAGCTGGGCCCTGTCTGCTGCCGTCCGGAACAGGCCAGGCTGGAGGCGCCGCAGATCCCCAAGGCCCCAGCCGCCCAAACTGGACCCTCGTGCATCCATCTGGCGAGCCGGCTTGCTCCTGCAATGGGGGAAAGATGGAGCCAGGTTTTCACCGTGGCCAGTCAGAAAGCTGCACTACAGAGACCACAGCATAGCCACCATGGCTGGTAGCCATCGATAGGCCTCCTAGCCAGGACCCAGGTACGTACCCTGCAATTTCCGGGCGCTCCAGGACACAGGTGGAGGGTGGGGGTGAGAGCCAGGAGCTGCTTTGGGCCAGCCGAGGTGGCACAAGTTCCAGGCAGTGCAATGCTCACCGCAAGATCTCTATTATTCATGGAGCGCCCTGGTGCCTTTGTCTGTTGTTATATGAGATGCTCTAAACACCACAAGACGGTGGAGCCAGGAAGGCGGAAAGGAGATCCAGCTTGCATTCAGAAGCCACATAATCCCTTTTCTGCGTTTGCAAGAAATCGATCTTTCAGCGCAGCAGCCCTTTGGAACTCACCGCCTATTGATATCAGGCAGGTCCCTGCACTATATTCTCTTCCTTCCTTCCTTCCTTCCTTCCTTCCTTCCTTCCTTCCTTCCTCCCTCCCTCCCTCCCTCCCTTCTTCCTTCCTTCCTTCCTTCCTTCCTTCCTCCCTCCCTCCCTTCCTTCCTTCCTTCCTTCCTCTTTCTTTCTTTCTTTCTCCTGCCAGAAATATTCTTTATTAGTCCTTCCTGCCCAGATGTTTGGAGAGTTGCCGTGGGTCTTCATCTGCTTATTTCGTGAAATTTCGTGAAATTTGCACGCCGCTCGATTGTCGGAAACCTCTGAGCGGTTTAGAAGAAGGTAAAGAACCCAGAAGAATTGCATTAAACCCGCTGTTAAAACATGCAGAAGCTAAAATACCGAAACACATTAAAAGCGCCACGATTTTCCCGCACATGGTGGTCTGGTAAGAAAGTGAGGGTATTTGGGGGGAAATGAAATAGGATGGGATAAAGAAAAAAAAGATGTTTAAAGTGATTACACACACACAAAAAGAACCCTGATGTTTTTCTACAAGGGACAGAAATTCCAAAAAAAGATTCTTATGTAACTGAAGCAGCCAGGATTCATTACACCCAGAAATGGAAAGATGAAAGTGGGGGGGGGGGGGAGAGGCACTGATGTAGAATAGGATGTCCCTATTTTTATCAGAGGAATGTTGGCAGGTCTGTTTTTGTCACCTGCTCCTCACGAGGGGCTGGCACCTAGCCGCTGCTTCACTTCATAAGAGCATCCGAAGATCTGTCTGGTTGCAGGATCAGGCCCAAAGTGGGGAGCTCACAAGTAGGGCATGAGCAGGAGAACCCCCACTTTCCTCGTGTCTCAAACCCCTAGCTCATGGAAGTGCCGTGTTGGAGGGGACCCAAGGGTCATCTAGTCCAAACCAGGCAATTAAACCGCACATGACAGGTGTTTGGCCTGCGGGGTGACAAAACTGTTCCTTTGCTGGAAGAAAAGCAACTTTGTGAGCAGAGAGCCCTTCCTCTTGTGAGTTTCTTATAAGTTTTAGTTTCCATTTCCCCCAGAACGAATTTGCATTTCTCAAGCACCCTCTGCAGTCCTTGCACAGAAGCTGCTAAGTCCCAGCTATGGCCAGGCTGACTCTTGGGGGAAAGAGCATCCTTCCTGGGAGGAAGCCTTAGAAATGGTCCTGGGGGAAGGCAGAACGAAGGAAGCCAGCGTCTGCTTCTCCGAATCCTGCTTCTGTTTGGTTGGGAGGGAATGTGTCTCTTCTCTAAGCCACCAGGTCCCAATTCCAGATTGTTTCCTACCTTTCAGACTGCAGAGAGAGCCAAGGTGAGCCTGGGGGTTCCTCTGCCTGACGTAACTGGAAGCCTTTTTCGGACTGTTCAAAGAACTATTATAATATGAGCCTAGGGCTTGCCGATCAGAAGGTCGGCGGTTCAAATCCCCGCGACAGGGTGAGCTCCCGTTGCTCGGTCCCTGCTCCTGCCAACCTAGCAGTTCGAAAGCATGTCAAAGTGCAAGTAGATTAATAGGTACCACTCCAGCGGGAAGGTAAACGGCATTTCCGTTTCGATCGAGATATGGATATGCTCGTACCCCTTCCAATCTGCGCCTCATCCCGAGGGACGAGGGTAGGGTGAGCAAGGATTACTCACCTCCGTCACTGGTGCTGTGCAATGCCAGGTCTATAGGCAACAAAACCGCCACCCTGCGAGATTTCTTTACCTCGCAGGGGGTCGACTTGGCTTGTGTGACGGAGACCTGGGTGCGCGAAGGAGAAACTGTTACCTTACGAGAGATGGCGCCCCCAGGTTTCTCCGTCCTCCACCAGTCACGGACTGTGGGCCGGGGGGGAGGGGTGGCATTATTAATCCGGGAAGATTGTCCTTTCAGGGCTCTACCATCACCATCGATCCCCAGCATTGAATGTGTTGGCCTAGTGTGGGGCTCCAAGGTGAGCTTGGCTGTCTGGCTGGTGTACCAGCCACCTAGCGCACCAGCAGCCACCCTGTCAGGCCTATTGGAGGCAGTGGCCGGCTGGGCCTTGGAGTTCCTTAACCTATTGGTATTGGGGGACTTCAACATCCATGCTGATGCCACTCCCTCCTCACAGGCTCTGGACCTGGTGTCTTCCATGGCGACACTAGGGCTCTCCCAGTTTGTTTCGGGCCCCATACATCAAGCAGGCCACACGTTGGATTTGATCTTTGGCGTCGGTATAGATGTGATCATGTCTTCTTCGATGAAGGTGCCATGGTCTGATCACTACGCTCTGAAAGCCAGGATTGACTTTCCACCCCCACCCTGCTTAGGTGGCAAGCCGATTTGGGCTCGCCCGCAGAGGCTGATGGACCCTGATAGATTCCGCCAAGCCTTGCGGGACCTTGCTCCCCCTGGCGACTCATTGACTGAGCTTGTTGAGGGCTGGAATATCCAGCTCCTGGCAGCCATCGATGAGATCGCACCTAGGCACCCTCTGCGACCCCGCAGAAACTGGGCTCCCTGGTTTACCGAGGAGCTCCGGAAAATGAAGCGGGACCTCAGACGGCTAGAGCGAGTATGGCGGGGTGCCCGTGACGGAGCCTCAAGAACATCTTATAGGGCTTTTATGAAAACCTACGAGATGGCGGTGAAGGCTGCTCAGAAGTCATACTTCTCGGCCTCCATTGCATCCGCTAGCTCTCGCCCAGCGCAATTATTTAGTATAATCAGGTCTTTAACGTCCCTTGAGGGACAGCCAAATTTAAATAACAATTTGACACACAGCTGTGAGGCATTTGCAAGCTTTTTTGCGGAGAAGGTCTTGTTGCTCCGCCATGACCTCCCTGCCAATTTGGATACAATAAAGGAACTGGAGGCCCCTTGACTGTCCTCAGGTCCAGTATTGGACCACTTTGACCGGATATCCCCAGCCGATGTGGACAGACTCCTCCGAGCTGGAAAGCCCACCACCTGTCCTCTCGACCCGTGCCCGTCTTGGCTGATTAGAGCGTGTCCAGACGAGGTGCGGGCCCTCCGGGGGATATCATCAATTTTCCCCTGGGCACGGGGACATTCCCAGGGGAACTGAAGGAGGCAGTGGTGCGCCCGCTCTTAAAGAAAACATCATTAGATCCTTTAGATCTATCCAATTACTGCCCGGTTTCGAATCTTCCGTTCCTGGGTAAGGTGATTGAGAGAGCGGTTGCTGAACAGCTTGGTGGGTTTCTGGATGAAACATCGGCTCTGGATCCATTCCAGTCCGGCTTCCGCACTGGTCACGGGACCGAGACGGCTCTGGTTGCCCTAACAGATGATCTTCGTAGACAGCTGGATCGAGGCGGGTCGGGGCTGCTGATTCTTCCAGATCTGTCAGCAGCTTTCAACATGGTCGATCACGAACTCCTGGACCACCGCCTTGCCGACGTGGGGATCCAGGGCACAGTCCTTCAATGGCTGCGCTCGTTTCTCTCTGGTCGGGGACAGAGGGTGGCGCTTGGGGGGGAATTGTCATCGCGCCACTCCTTGGTGTGTGGAGTACCTCAGGGTGCGATACTCTCCCCGATGCTTTTCAACATCTTTATGTGCCCCCTCGCCCAGCTTGTCCGGAGTTTTGGGCTGGGTTGCCATCAGTATGCCAATGACACCCAACTCTATCTGTTGATGGATGGCCATCCTGACTCGGCCCCAGACACACTGACCAGATGTTTGGAAGCTGTGGCTGGATGGTTACGTGGGAGCCGGTTGAAGCTAAATCCTTCGAAGACAGAGGTCCTGTGGCTGGGACGGGACGATATGGGATTGGGGGGGGCAACTCCCATCTCTTGCGGGGGCGCAATTAGTGCCAGCACCGTCCGCTAAGAGTTTGGGTGTAATCTTTGACACCTCCCTTTCCATGGAGGCGCAGATTGCAGCTATAACAAAGGCGGCATTTTCCCATCTCCGCCAAGCTAAGCAGTTGGCTCTTTACCTCTCTCGCCCTGACCTAGCCACTGTGATCCATGTGACGGTCACCTCCAGACTGGATTATTGTAACTCGCTCTACGTGGGGCTGCCCTTGAGACTGACCCAGAAGCTCCAGCAGGTGCAGAATGCTTGTGATGGCCTGGGATTCCGATTCAGAGGCTGAACCGGAGGAATCCCAGCCTGCACAGGAGTCCCCGCCTCCAGGGCCGGCTGAACTGGGGCAGGGCCTTGATTCTGAAGCGCCTGCACCTGTGCCGGATCCTCAGGAGCAGGCACCAGGTGAATCCACTCTGGCTCCGGAGGTGGTTGAGGACTCAGTGCCTACAGGTGAGTCTCCCCCCTGGGTCCAGTAACCCTCCCGCCTCTGAACTGCAGAGGCTCAGGGCAGAGAGGCGGAGGGAACTGGTTTCTCCCAGGAGGAGTGCTCGCCTTAAGGCCAGGAGAGGCGGGTCTCCTGGGGGCTGGGACCGCCCCTGGCCTCAGAGAAGATAAAGGCCAGTCAGCCCGGTCCCAGGTTGCGGGAGCAACGTCGTCGTTGAGTACCTGCTCCTACCCGGACCCAGACCTGACCTTCCAGTGTTCCTGTTCCCCGCCCGGCTTCCTGCTTCTGACCGTCCAGTGTTCCTGTCCCCGCCCGGCTTCCTGCTTCGGACCTCGCCTCGCTCCTTGTGAACTGTTTCCAGGCTAGTGACTCAGGACTGGACTTTGACTACGACAACGGTAACCTTCCCCCCGGGACTAGCACAATGCTGCAGCGAGACTCCTTACGGGGTCTTCGCTGCGAGATCACATTCACCCGGTGCTATACCAGCTGCACTGGCTCCCGGTGGAGTACAGGATCAGGTTTAAGGTGCTGGTTTTAACCTTTAAATTCCTATATGACCTGGGACCCTCGTATCTACGGGACCGCCTCTACTGGTATGCCACACAGAGAAACTTACGGTCTTCAAATAAGAACATCTTGAAGGTCCCAGGCCACAGAGAAGTTAGGCTGGCCTCAACTAGAGCCAGGGCTTTTTCAGCCGTGGCTCCGATCTGGTGGAACACTCTGTCACAAGAGACCAGGGCCCTGCGGGACTTGACATCTTTCCGCAAGGCCTGCAAGACAGAGCTGTTCCACCAGGCCTTTGGCCAAGGCACAGCCTGACTCCCTCCCTCGGCAATCTTCGCAGAGCTCTGGCCCAATGATTGCCAGTGGCTTGATTTGAATTAATTTTATAATGAATGGTTTTAGAGTGTTGTTTGTGCTGTACTTTTGTACTGTTTTATTGTTGTTAGCCGCCCTGAGTCCGGCTTCGGCTGGGGAGGGCGGGATATAAATAAATTTTATTATTATTTATTATTATTATTCCGTGCACTGCTCTGGTTCGCCAGAAGCGGCTTAGTCATGCTGGCCACATGACCCGGAAGCTGTACGCCGGCTCCCTCGGCCAATAAAGCGAGATGAGCGCCGCAACCCCAGAGTCGGTCACGACTGGACCTAATGGTCAGGGGTCCCTTTACCTTTATGACTTCCCTTGATCTGGACACTAGACTTCTGTTGATGCAGCCTAGAATGGCATTAGCCTTTTTTGCTACTGCATCACACTGTGGGCTCATGTTCAGCTTGTGGTCCACCAAGACTCCCAGATCATTTTCCCAGGTACTGCTAGTGAGCCAGGTGTCCCCCATCCTATATTTGTGAATCTGGTTCTTCCCGCCTAAAGGCAGAACCTGACATTTGTCCCTACGGAAATTCATTTTGTTAGTTTGGGCCCACTTCTCCAAGCTGTGAAGGTCACCTTGATCCCCCTTCTCTCTGCCATCTCTAGGCCCAAGCAGAAAACACCTCTGTGCCAGAGAGATCCTTTTTTATTCATCCAGTGGAGCGATGGCAGACACCCTCTGCCACAATACATCCAGACTGCGTCTCCCCACAGGGAGAGTGGGTTACAACCAGAGGGAGATTTGGGAGTGGTGGGCTCCCTGTGGAAGATCTTCCCATTCTGGTCTCCACCAAAACCCATTGGCTGATGGCAATGTCCGTCACCATTGGCACATAGAAAGGCATCAATGAGGACTAGGATTGTGCTTGGCTTGCACAATCAGTGCGCACAGAAACCACCAGGCGAGTTCTAGGAGGAAACTGACCAGGTAGAATAAATCCTGCAACTGAGACATTTTTTTGGGTTGTACATAATTTATTCTGGCTTAACAATTCAAGCTTTGGGCTTGATTTTTTCAAAGCAGTGGAGAAGGCACAGAAGGAAGTCAGTGAAGACTAGAACCATGCTTTGAAATGAAGGCTGGAATTCTCACCTGTGGAAGATCTTCCCATTCTGATCTCCACCAAAACCCGTTGGCCAATGGCAATGTCCATCATTATTGGCACATAGAAAAGAATCAATGAGGTCTAGGATCGTGCTTGACTTGCACAATCCATGCACACAGAAACCACCAGGTGAGTTCTAGGAGGAAACTGACCAGGTAGAATAAATCCAGGTAGAAAATCATTTTTCTTGGTTGTACATAATTTATTCTGGCTTCACGATTCAAGTTTTTGGCTTGAGTTTTTTGAGGCAGTGGAGAAGGTACAGAAGGAAGTCAGTGAGGACCAGAACCATGCTTCACCTGGAATTCAGGCTGGAATTCTCACCTGTGGAAGATCTCCCCATTCTGATCTCCACCAAAACCCGTTGGCCAATGGCAACGTCAGTCATCAATGGCATGTTAGAAAGGCATCAATGAGGACTAGGGTTGTGCTTCGCCCAGTTCTCCAATGTTGAGGTCATTTTTTAACCCCGATTCTGTCTTGTGTGGCATTAGCTCCCCCTCCCAGTTTGCAGCCCCCCCCCCCGAAAATCTGAGAAATGGTCTCTCTCTTCATTCATCCGAGTTATTTAGAAAGAAGGGGGCCCAAAACCCATTGGCCAATGGCAACGTCAGTCAGCATCGGCACTTAGAAAAGCATCAACAGACCTCAAATATTCCTCTGCGGAAAAGGAGACAAATGGGGAAAGCCTTCCCATTGTCTTTTTGCTTACAAATCCAGTCTTAAGGGCATACTTGCGTATGCAGGGTGAGCCTGTGGATTCAGGAACTAAAATATTAACCATCACAAAAGGATGGGCAGGCTGCCCAGGCAATGCAATCAGTGATCATTATCAGGTATCCCGGCAAACAGGATTTTTGCTGGAGACCACCTCCTTCTATGATTAAAAAGAAAAAATTAAAAAATTGGCCAGTAGCACCTTAGGGACCAACTAAGTTGTTCTGGATATAAGATTTCATGTGCATGTTCTGTTATACCCAGAACAACTTCACCTTGCCAACAAAGGTCCATATAGTTAAAGCCATGGTTTTCCCAGTAGTGATGTATGGAAGTGAGAGCTGGACCATAAAGAAGGCTGATCGCCAAAGAATGGATGCTTTTGAATTCTGGTGCTGGAGGAGACTCTTGAGAGTCCCATGGACTGCAAGAAGATCAAACCTCGCCATTCTGAAGGAAATCAGCCCTGAGTGCTCACTGGAAGGACAGATTGTGAAGCTGAGGCTCCAGTACTTTGGCCACCTCATGAGAAGAGAAGACTCCATGGAAAAGACCTTGATGTTGGGAAAGATGGAGGGCACAAGGAGAAGGGGGCGACAGAGGACGAGATGGTGGGACAGTGTTCTTGAAGAGACCAGCATGAGTTTGACCAAACTGCGGGAGGCAGTGGAAGACAGGAGGGCCTGGTGTGCTCTGGTCCAGGGGGGTCACAAAGAGTCGGTCATGACTAAACAACTAAACAACAACAACAAGATGCTACTGGACAATTTTTTAATTTTGGGGGGAAGGATTCTGCAGACCATCACGGCTACCTACCTGAATCCTTCTATGATGTATTTATGATGTTTTGGGGGGTGATCTTGGGCTACAGGGTGGGCAATTTCAAAAGTCTATATAAGGACCTGCGCACTATTGTACAGGGTTCCTGTGTGCAGTGAAAGGGGGACCCTGTTTCAACAGATTAATAAAGATCAGGCTTACTAGCTGCTTTGCTTCTCAAATATATTCTGGTTGGTCTCTGTTATTCCCGTCTACCGATAGAAAACCACCGTAAGGACTCTATACGGGCTCTTGGATACCCCATGCTATGGTGTCCAAACTTTTTTCAAAGAGGGCCAGATTTGATGAATTGAAGGGCTGTGAGGGCCGACAAAAGTTGTTGACCTTTCTTTAGGATTTAAGTTGTTGAGGTTCTTTTAGGCTTTTACCCCAGGAAATAAACTGTCACAGGGGCCGGGCCAGATTAAACCGACTTGCGGGCCAAATTAGGCCCCCAAAATGGACTTTGGACATGCCTGCGAAGGGAAAAGGAGCAGGTTTTTTCGTATAACACCTATGCATTAATTTTATCATTTCACCTTGTTTTGAGTCTTTTCTTTTTCTCATTAACAATCAAGCGGCGTGTAAATTTTATGGAACAAATACATTTTTAAAAAGTGTTCATCCTACAATGGGTGGGGAAACCCAGCCAGATGGGCAGGGAAGAAGAAGAAGAAGAAGAAGAAGAAGAAGAAGAAGAAGAAGAGGAGTTTGGACTTGATATCCCGTCTTTCACTCCCCTTAAGGAGTCTCAAAGCAGCTAACATTCTCCTTTCCCTTCCTCCCCCACAACAAACACTCTGTGAGGCGAGTGGGGCTGAGAGACTTCAGAGAAGTGTGGCTGGCCCAAGGTCACCCAGCAGCTGCATGTGGAGGAGCGGGGAAGCGAACCCAGTTCACCAGATTACCCGGTTTCCCAGACTACCGCTCTTAACCACTACACCACACTGGCTATAAGAAATAAAATGATTGTTTATTATTATTATTATTATTATTATTATTATTATTATTATTATTAATGCAATGAAAATAATGGATCCTACCCAACCAGCCATCAACACAGGTGTCTATGGTGTTAAAGATACTCAGCAGTTTGCAACTCTTAACACCCAATCTGGCTTTTTTTAAAAAAAAAAACCTCTGGGTTTGATCTCAAGCGCTTAAGTTGAATAAACCTGGTATCTTGCGCTCAGGCTGAAGTGAACAATTGCTCTTCCACAAGCTGCACTAGGCTCTGCCCTCTTCCCACGGAACCCACAGGCTCCCCCCTCTGCCCCGCCCCCGAACCCCAACAGGCTCCTCCCCCAGCCATATCAGTCAGGGATGACCTTGGCCCTGCCCGTTCTCCAGGTGTTTGGAAGTCAAGGAAGGAAATCAAGGAAAGGCACCAGAGAAGGAGACTCAAGTGATAAAACATGTAGAGCTTTGTTTGCAAGCGCGAAGCCGGGGGAGCAGGCAGGTCTCGCTCAGAGGGCCACGTCGCGCGGGTGGAGCAGGGAGAAGGCGCCGTTCTTGCGGAAGAAGCTGTCGATACGGCACTTGGGGGTGGGGGCGATGTGGCTGGTGGCCAGCTTCCCTGGGGAGACAAAAAAGGGTCAGGGTGAAGAACAGCAGAGCCTCCTGCAGGATCAGGCCAGAGAGTGGCCCACCTACTCTAGTGTCTAATAAATAATAATAATAATAATAATAAAAAAAAAACTTTAGCAACTTAACTTCAAATACAATTTACATCCAGCGTTTCTATTGAAGGAATGGGTTTCCCAAAACCCCAAAACTGACTGTGCAGGCAGTTTGAAACGGGCACCAAAATCCCTATTTTTCCTTAGCTAAAATCCATTAACTTGAGCTCTGAGTCAATGTATAAACAAAAACCCGGCTGTATAAACAAGTGCTCAGAGCCCTCTCCTTTATCAGTTCGTGACGGCAAGGATGGCCTTGGCTGTTCCAGTAGAGCAGGGATGACACGTCTAGGTCTTATCTTACCTCCTGACCACACTCTGACGCTCAGACCTAGTCCGGGAACAGCGCCAGGAGACCTTCTTACCCCAAGATAAGGAATACAGGAACAGGAACAACCTTATATGGTCAAGAGTACAGGAAGAGGAACAACCTTATATGGTTGAGAGTACCGGAGCAGGAACATCTGTGATGTCAACCTGCGTGTACAAGCTGATGTGGCTGGATTCCTGGGGAAGCGGGAGAGGGTGCCTGGAGGATATATATACTGCATGAAATTCTCATTTCTTTGGACTTGCTGTGGACTGACCACGCAAGTGCCTTTCTGCTACTCCGGAGAGCAGAAATAAAGAACTCTTTCTCTGAACCAACCCTCGGTGTCATTTGACTTCCTTCCTCCTGTCCGGGAGCAACGCAGAGCCCACCAATCGGTAAAGTCTAATAAGGCTACACTATAGGCCAAATAAGCGTTCCTTAAGGCTTCCTTCTTTGTGCGGCACTCCAGCAGCGCCCTTTAGCAGTGCGTGGCTTGCCAGCTGAGTTTATGTTGACAGAGACCACATCCTGCAAGGACTCAATGAGATTTTCGTAAGCCGTCAGGGAGGAGTCTATTGATAAATTGTTTATTACAGTTGATCTTAACTTAACTGCAGTTTGCTCGTGTGCTCAAGACATCGTTTCCATAAAACAATTTTTGTTGCACTGTGCAAAATATGAGCAAGCCAGGGCTGAACTGATATTACCCTTGCTGGTACCTTTCCCAGGAAAATCAGAGGCTCACTATGTCGGGTTCCTATTGGAAGACCGGACAAACGCCAGAACATTAGCAGTGGCAAAGTTTTTATCGGTGGTTGCAAGAACCAATGACCCCTATATTCTGAACAAAATGCTTGCTTAACCTGGAGGTAGGCTGTCTGAATGGTGTATCGCTTTGTAACGATTTGTTGGGTCTCTGGGCCGTAATAAAGATTGATGATGAATTTACATCCCCCTTGCAAAATAAAACGACTTTCCACCCTTACCTCTGGGGTATCTTTTTATGCCCACCCTTGTTCTGCTGCACTGTATGGTGGAATCTACACCCATATTTTTTTAAAAAAAAAAAAAATATGCTGCAAAAATGCTTTTAAAAAAAACCCACAACGTTTCGAAAAATACATTAAATTTGGCATAGCTCGCCGCTGCCATCCAGTGTCACATTCGGGTATTGCACTTTGCAACGCATTTAAAACGTTTCATTTGCAGCCGTAAGTCCTGCCAAACTAAATCTAATACATATTTCCTCGGACGCATCTCTTGCCATTTTTAATCTGCTGTTCATAATTCAAATCCTGCCCGCGATTTCACATGGTTATGGTTCTTTCCCAGATATTCTGAGAAGGGTTTCCACTCTTCAACGCAGAGTTCGCCGTTTTGATCTCTCCTTCCCGGCGTTCGCCAATTCTGCAGAGCCCATTAGCTTTGCAAGCCTTTCCTCTTTAGTTGTGTCATCTTCTTCCTTCCAATTCTGCGCCTATAGGATTCTGGCGGCTGTTGTTGTGTACATAAATAGTTTGATCATATTCTTTGGTACGTTTGTCCCCAATATCCCCAGAAGAAAAGCTTCAGGCTTTGGAGAATTGCAAATTTTAACATCTCAGCACCCAGTGTCAGGAGTTCAGCCTACACTCGAGTAGGACCCTGGCATGTTCCCTCCTCCCTGGTCATTTGTTTGGGAGCTTCAGAAGCTTTCTTCTGCCCAAACATCACAGCGACCGATGCCAACAGACATCGGCACACTTAGGAATCCGCAGAGTCTTTGCAGCTTTTCGTGACAGACCTCAGCAACTCAGCATTTTGGCTAATCTACTTTATTTACATATAAACACACACAGAGCACTGCAACATGGCTCCCTTTCTCTCTAGCATCAGACAGCAAAGAGAAAGAACAAAGGACAATAGTCTCACTTCACAGAATGCAGTAACACAAACATCCTGTCTCCGTCACTTCCCACTCTGTGGAGTCAAAACATATACCGTCATGTGAAGGTCCTGTGTGAGTGTCTGGAGGCAGTTGGAGGATGGATGGCGGCTAACAGATTGAGGTTGAATCCTGACAAGACAGAAGTACTGTTTTTGGGGGACAGGAGGCGGGCAGGTGTGGAGGATTCCCTGGTCCTGAATGGGGTAACTGTGCCCCTGAAGGACCAGGTGTGCAGCCTGGGAGTCATTTTGAACTCACAGCTGTCCATGGAGGCACAGGTCAAATCTGTGTCCAGGGCAGCTGTTTACCAGCTCCATCTGGTACGTAGGCTGAGACCCTATCTGCCTGCGGACTGCCTCGCCAGAGTGGTGCATGCTCTGGTTATCTCCCGCTTGGACTACTGCAATGTGCTCTACGTGGGGCTACCTTTGAAGGTGACTCGGAAACTACAACTAATCCAGAATGCGGCAGCTAGACTGGTGACTGGGGGCTGCCGCTGAGACCATATAACACCGGTCTTGAAAGACCTACATTGGCTCCCAGTACGTTTCCGAGCACAATTCAAAGTGTTGGTGCTGACCTTGAAAGCCCTAAACGGCCTTGGTCCAGTATACCTGAAGGAGCGTCTCCACCCCCATCGTTATGCCCGGATGCTGAGGTCCAGTGCCGAGGGCCTTCTGGCGGTTCCCTCATTGCGAGAAGCAAAGCTACAGGGAACCAGGCAGAGGGCCTTCTCGGTAGTGGCGCCCGCCCTGTGGAACGCCCTTCCAGCAGATGTCAAAGCGATAAACAACTACCTGACATTCAGAAGACATCTTAAGGCAGCCCTGTTCAGGGAAGTTTTTAACGTGTGATATTTTACTGTATTTTTGGTTTCTATGGAAGCCGCCCAGAGTGGCTGGGGAGGCCCAGCCAGATGGGCGGGGTATAAATAATAAATTATGATGATGATGATGATGTGCTAGACAAAAATCCCATGACTGCAGTCATGGAGCAGGAATTCTAACACCCAGCTCCCACAGGGGCCGACGAGATGCCCCCCCAAGGGAAACCTGCAAACAGGATTTGAGCACAAGAGCAACTCTCCCTTCCTGCAGTGTCCAGCAGTTCAGAAGCTGTGTAGGCAGAGCATGGTCTGTTAGAATTCCTGCTCCATGATTGCAGTCATGGGATTGTTGTCTTTCACCTGATGGTATATGTTTTGACTCCACAGAGGGGGAAGTGGCGGAGAACAGCCGAGAACAGCACTGGCCTTTTTTGCTGCTGCATCACACTGTTGGCTCATGTTCAGCTTGTGGTCCACCAAGACCTCTAGATCTTTTCCCCGTGTACTGCTAGTGAGCCGGGTGTCCCCCATCCTATATTTGTGCATCTGATTCTTCCAGCCTAACTGCAGAACCTGGCATTTGTCCCTATGGATCAGTCCCCCTTTGGCCAAACCCAGCTGTAGCCAACCGCTCTCCTGATGTTCTTCTGTCCCCTCCCATCCGCCCTGCCAGGTTCTCTAGAATAGCATTGGCCTTTTTTGCTGCTGCATCACGCTGTGGGCTCATGTTCAGCTTGTGGTCCACTAAGACCCCGAGATTTCTGCGGAGGCAGCCCAGAATGACATTGCTGCGCAACCCAAATCCGATTCCCGCCCACTAGTCTTTTCCAGGGGGCACCCAGGACTCCCTTCCTCTCCTAGCAGCTGTAAGGAATGATATGGTTTGAATGGACCTAAAATGGTTGGAGACCATCAACACAAAACGGATGCTGTTGATGAACTAATAACGAACTGTGTTTGTCAAAGAACCAATGGAATGTGCATGTTCCGGCCAAGTGAACGGTACACGCAAGGAAGCATAAAGACTGACTATACTACACTAGTTGCAAACAATGAGTGTTGAAACATGCCAAAAGCTACTCAGCACTAGTTCCGAGCAATGAGTGTTGTGATTTGCCAAGAACATGCCAAGGACAAAGGACCTCTTGTTATTAAATATACCAAGAAAAAAGCCCACCAAGAACTCTGGCCAATATAAGTTTCAGCAGTGGGAGGGGTCCCTACTCCCAAATCAATAGTCAATAATTCGTTACAGCATTAGAGAAAATAAGTTATAAAACATCTAAATTCTAAATTATCATAAGTTATAATAATTTAGAATTTAAATGTATTTTTGTGTAATGTTTGATACTTCCAGCTGATGAAGGCGAATACATCGAAACAGGGCCCTGTCGTGGTTTCTGATCCATAATTTGACTTCTGACTTCTGCTCAATGATTGAAACTAAGACCTTCACGTCGAATTTGACTATAGACTAACATGAACATCTCTACTCATAAACTCTTATCTTTAATGCTGTAACGAATTATTGTGTTATACATATCCTTATGAGTTTGAGTTTGTAATCTCTGTTTGAGTTTGTTATCCTTGTCAGAATACATACTTTTGAATGGAATAGTTTTGTTACAATTGACTATTGATTTGCGAGTAGGGACCTCTCCCACTGCTGAAACTTATAATGGCCAGAGTTCTTGGTGTGCTTTTTTCAAGGACGAAGGACCGCCAAGAACACGCCAAGGAGCAAGGAGTGACAAGACTCAGAAAAGCAGCGGGAAGAGTATATAAGAAGACTTTTCAGACCGGATGCGCTTTCCTAGGGTACACGGCGTCTCATATATGTTAAACAACAGATAAAAGAACCTATTTGGTCATATAACAGAGTCAACTCCTATGCGCTGAGGTCCCTTCGGCCCCCTCGATGAAATATTTCAGGGAGTCGATCCCCAAAAGCTTATGGACATTGCCATTCAAATGGGTGTTTGCCACATCAAGGGATCAATTGTGCAGGGTGGGGCTTGCTAACGGAGAAATCTGAAGGCTCCCTTGGACAAAAAAGGACAAGGACACCAGCCAGGAATCCCAGAGCAAAACAGCAGCCAGAAGGCTTGGTCTTTATTGAAGACTGTCACAACAGGACTCCCACCTTCCTCAAGGTGGAACAAGATGGAAGCCCCGAACAATAGAGAACCCAAACTTTTATTAGCTGCTAATCCCCATGTTACACCCCCCCAAACTACATCACTCATACATCACGGTTACATCATGAAAGGGGAGGTCTGGTGGCAGTAATCTGAGCTTCCTGGACCCTGCCCCATGGTCCCTCTTGCCCTCCACCAAACACCGATCAAGTCTAACAAAAAAGATATTTACATTTCCCTATTTCCCAGCCAAGTGAATCACACCCTTTTGTCTTCATCTGGGTTGGTTCTTTCTGGAATGGCTACCTGTCTGGCACTCAGGTATCAGGATGCCAGGGATTATCACTCAGGCAGAGGGGCTGCTGAGCAGCTGAGCTCACATGTCTATATGAATTTCTGAAGTTTTCCCAGTGAGACAGTACATAGAGACATTTATCAGTGAATTCTTACATTTGTATCGTGCAGCAAAGGCCCTTTGAATAGATAGGAAGAAACTGTGATGGGGTGTTTTGTGGGGACAAATCACAAAAGTCACAAAAGCGATTGTGCTGATTTTGGTAGTGGGCTGCATGTGCAGGATATCTGCTGGAGGGGAAACACCCCCACCCAACCTATACATAAATTCCTGCAACAGCTTACACCCCCCCCCGACATTTAATTTATCCGAAAACAGCAGCATCCCTCCTGCAACCCCTTGGTTGGTGCTGTGGGTTAAAAAACAGAGCCTAGGACTTGCCGATCAAAAGGTTGGTGGTTCGATTCCCCGCGATGGAGTGAGCTCCCGTTGCTCAGTCCCTGCTCCTGCCCAACTAGCAGTTCGAAAGCACACCAGTGCAAGTAGATAAATAGGTACTGCTCCAGCGGGAAGGTAAACGGCATTTCTGTGTGCTACTCTGGTTCACCAGAAGCGGCTTGGTCATGCTGGCCACATGACCTGGAAAAACTGTCTGCGGAAGTGGACAAACGCCGGCTCCCTCAGCCAGTAAAGCAAGATGAACGCCACAACCCCAGAGTCGGCCCCGACTGGACCTAATGGTCAGGGGTCCTTCACCTTTTAGCAGCACCCCTCCCGCGCCCCCTCGCTCCCACTCACCCATCTGCCAGCCATAGTTGAAGTTGGTGGTGACAGGAAAAGTGTATTTGTCCTCCGGGTTCAAGAGCAGGCGCAGCTTCAAGTAGCGCGTGCGCCCTTCGTCCTCGTGCGAGATGCCCTGGTACAGGAGGTTGCGCAACTCCCGAGGCGCAGGCCTCATTTCCATCTCCAGGATCGCGGCGTCCACCCCGGTCAGGTCCCGTTCCCGCGCCAGCCCTGCGGGGGCTGCCGTTAGAGGCGGGATGGGGCGCTGGGGGGTTACGTCCAGTGGGGCGGGCTTGACGGAGGGGAGCCGTAGAGTGTTGTCCATGGCCTTCTTCCGACGCTCCCTCTGCGCCTGCTGCTTGGCCTTCACGATGGCGCCGTACTTCTGGTGCCAGCGGTAGCGCATCACGAGCTCTTTGTTGTACTCCTCCTTCCAGAAGTTCTGCTGTAGGGTGTCCATGTTCAGCGGCCGCGCCATGGCTGGCTAAGGGACCTGCGGGCAGCGCCCAGGACTGCCCTCGTTGCCACAAGCCAACCGGTGAGCCAGAGTCAGTGTGCCAGGGGTGGGCATCCCTGGGGAGACCTCCTTGGGGTAGGCAGCGCCTCACAGATGCTTCAAGCAGCCCCTTGTGATGTCATGGGTCTCCCCAGCCTCCTGCCAAAGGCATTGGTGGAGGGCAAAGGGACCCTCAGCGGTGGCCCAGCTATGCCGCTATCTGGACAGGGATAGCCTAACTCAGGGGTAGGCAAACTAAGGCCCAGGGGCCGGATCCGGCCCAATCGCCTTCTCAATCCAGCCTGTGGATGGTCCGGGAATCAGTGTGTTTTTTACATGAGTAGAATGTGTCCTTTTATTTAAAATGCATCTCTGGGTTATTTGTGGGACCTTCTGACATTCTTAAGAGTATTGTTCAGAATAGCGGTTTAGAAGACATACTAAGGAGGATAAAAACTCAATGAAATTCAAAACATTGACAATCAGTTGCACATTTATTCAAAACCCATTTAAAACTATTTAGTGAATTAATTCAACAAGATTTGATCCTGGTGATACATCAGAGCGAAGGAAATTCAGAGCATAGAATCTTTACATATAACTCTGTACCAAGATGTGCAGTCCTTAATTTTGAAGGTTGTCATATTGCAAAAAGTGAAAGTCTGGACACAAAAGTTGTTGAGCTTTATATATGTATATATTTGAAGCTTTTGAGCTATTTTTAAGGAATATCTCAACCAAAAAACAAACAAACAAACAAACACATCCGACATGGGTGGCCATAGACTCGAATTTCCTCAGACATTTAAGCCTATTTTTGAAAAATCCGCTTAGATGTTATTTCTAACCAGCGAACCCGGGAAATTCCGGACGCATGGGAGCCCTAAAATGATGAAGTGGAGCAGTGTTTTTTTCCTGTAAACATTTTGTAAATCTCTGTCTTTTGCCCATTTACTGTATTTTCCCCAATTTGAACTACAAAATGGTGATTTTCTTTGAGTCAAAAATGAGAGTACCCCTAAACATTTTTTTAAAAGAAAAAATGCACTTAAGAGGAGAAAGGCTGCAATTAGTTCTTTGCTCTGAAGATGTGAAAAAAACTCATTCCCCAAACATTCCGGCCAAATCAAAGGCAAGAAATCAAAAAGGCGTCTAGTTAACCCGGAGTAAAAACAACCCATGTGTCCCTCTGCAGTTTCTTATCTCTGTGGAAGAGGCTGCTCTTCCGCCCTTTCTCCGTAAGGCTTCTCCACCCGTCACTACGCAAGCGCCACAGGAGGGTACCGCCCCTCGCGGACACCGCGCCTGCGCCGCCTCTCCCCGCGATTTCCCCGCCCGCCGCATAAAACCTCCTTACGGCGGCTGCGCGGGGCCATTCTTCGCGGAAGTGCGCTCCTCGTCCGTCAGCAGCCATGGCCGGCCGGGGGAAGCTGATCGCGGTTCTGGGCGACGAGGACACCGTGACCGGGTTCCTGCTGGGCGGCGTCGGCGAGCTCGACAAGCACCGGCGCCCCAACTTCCTGGTGGTGGAGAAGGAGACGGCGCTGGCCGAGATCGAGGACGCTTTCCGGTGAGGGGGGGGCGCGGTTGCCGGGGAGACGGCGCGGGAGAGACCAAGGCGCCCACAGGGGCGGGGGGGGCGGGAGAGACCAAGGCGCCCACAGGGGCGGGGGGGGGCGGGAGAGACCAAGGCGCCCACAGGGGCGGGGGGGGGGCGGGAGAGACCAAGGCGCCCACAGGGGCGGGGGGGGGGGCGGGAGAGACCATTCTGCGGGCACGGGGGGGATCCTCTTTGTGTGTGTGTGTGTGTGTGTGTGTAGATATATGCAAATCGGCAAGAACAGATATATATGTGTGTGTGTGTGTGTGTGTGTGTGTGTGTATGTATATACAGTGGTACCTCGGGTTACAGACGCTTCAGGTTACAGACTCCGCTAACCCAGAAATATTACCTTGGGTTACGAACTTTGCTTCAGGATGAGAACAGAAATCGCGTGGCTGCAGTGGGAGGCCCCATTAGCTAAAGTGGTGCTTCAGGTTAAGAACAGTTTCAGGTTAAGAACGCACCTCTGGAATGAATTAAGTTCTTAACCCGAGGTACCACTGTATATGCAAATCTGCAAGAACAGATATATATGTGTGTGTGTGTGTGTTTGTATATATATATATATTTATGTATGTGTATGTTTATATATATATATGTTTAAAAAGCTCCATTATCCGCTTGTTCTCCTTCTCTGAATTTTATTGATGTTCCCCGCCTTTTTCCTCTCCTCCGAGGAGCCCCATAGGGGCATTTACATGGCTCCCCACCCCCCATCTCAAACAGCCCTGCAAGGGAGGCTGGGCTGAGAGATGCAGAGGTTGCCCGGCAAGGTCGCCCCCAGTGACCTTGCTTGGCCGTCTGGTGGGATTCGAACCAAGGGCCTGGTTCTCATAAATGTGGCTTGCTTCTGTCATTGTCTGTTTCCTGTTTCTTACATTTCAGATGCTCTGCTGTGCAACAATGGCCCTTCCCAAAGCAGAAGGGGAAACAGACAGTGGGGAGGGTGGGTCCTGGGCCCTAGAGCTTGTGCAGCCTCGCCCCAGGGGCACGGTTGGCGCTGTGGTCTAAACCACTGAGCCTCTTGGGCTTGCCGATCAGAAGGTCAGGAGTTCGAATCCCCGTGACGGGGTGAGCTCCCATTGTTCAGTCCCAGCTCCTGCCAACCTAGCAGTTCGAAAGCACGTCAAGTGCAAGTAGATAAATAGGTACCACTCTGGCAGGAAGGTAAACTGTTTCCATGCGCTCTGGTTTCCGTCACGGTGTCCCATTGCGCCAGAAGCAGTTTAGTTTTGCTGGCCACATGACCCGTGAAACTGTCTGTGGACAAACGCCGGCTCCCTTGGCCTGAAAGCAAAATGAGCTGCAACCCCATGGTCGCCTTGGACTGGACTTAACCGTCCAGGGGTCCTTTACCTTTACCTTATCTTCAGGCAGGGGTCAGCAAACTTTTTCAGCAGGGGGCCGGTCCACTGTCCCTCAGACCTTGTGGGGAGCCGGTCTATATTTTGGGAGAAAAATGAACGACTTCCTACGCCCCACAAATAACCCAGAGATGCATTTGAAATAAAAGGACACATTCTACTCTTGTAAAAACACACTGATTCCCGGACCGTCCACAGGCCGAATTTAGAAGGCAATTGGACCGGATCCAGCCCCCGGGACCTTAGTTTGCCTACCCATGCCTTAGGCTGATGCCACGCGTAGTTTAGGGATGGCATATGAATCCAGGCCGCTGAGTGCAACCCAACAAAAGCCGACCATATTTACACTCCACTGCAATTTCGTGGTACTTTCCACAGCTTGCGTTGCAGTCATTGCAGAGCAACGTTGCCTCCTGAAGTCTGTGATTCCTGCATTGGACTAGACCAGAGGTTCCCAACCTTTTTTGACCATGCCCCACCTAAGCATCTCTAAAATCCTGATGCCCCCCACCCCATGACACATAATTCTTATTATTCGAAAAGCGAATTCCTATTCACGTGGAGGAAGCTTGAAAGGCCAGTCACTGTTAATAACTCATTCTCGAATTGCCCCTCTTAAAAATCGAATATTTATGTCCCAACCCTGCAAGTCTAAGCCCCTTGGCTGCAATCTTTCTGTTGATCTTGAATGGCCGCCTTTTGTGGACATGCAGGCATGTCCAACAGGTGGATCATGATCTAATGGTGGATCACTGGTTGATCATTGGCTCCCCTAAAAGAAGCTCAGCCACTTTGCCCTGCACCCCAAAAAGGAGGGTAGATCACTGCCAGTTTTTAACTCTGTGAGTAGATCGCAGTCTCTTGGGAGTTGGCCACTCCTGGTGTACAGCAAAGGGAACGGGTGGCTTTCTTTCTCCCCCCACCCCTTTCCGGAAGAAGCTGGGTTCAGGCAGTGCTCTGTTTACACACAAACACCCTGTCCCAGCCAGGCCCTTCGGATCCGGCCGCAGCCGCCCTCCACCAGCCCTCTCTGCTCCCTGGCACCCAACGAAGGACCTGCCTGCTCTTCTGTGACCTTGAGGAAGCTCCTTGCAGCGGATCCTTCTGTTGGATGTGCCCTTTCCAGACCCAGGGGGCTGGTGGCTCTGTGGCAGGCAATTTATCCAACCTTGGCCGGTGCATACGAAGCAGGGAAGCCTTACGGGATGTGTGGTGTGTAAATAGGCCCACCAACAAGAAGTAGCAATAAGAAAAGAAGAAATGTAATAATATCGGAATTAGCCCCATAGGTTATACACCGTACATATGAACTGTATATGTTGCACATACTGGAATAGACCTTTATGATAGCAAATAACCAGTAAATTTTTTCACAGTTGTTATCATTCAGCCTGTTGCGCTTTGTGTATTGTGACAACTGTATTTGCTTAGCAAGGACTCAATCTCCCATCAGCCCCAGCCAGTTGCTAGGGATTATGGGAGTTTTAGCCCATGCAAGCAGGAGTTGTGTTGGTACTGCACCTCACAGCCCATAATCTCCCTGCCTGCCACCCTCTCTGTTCCTGAACTTGCAATGGGGCAGGGTCCACTTCTGAGATTGTCCCTCCTTCAATCCAGCGTGGGTTCTGCGCTGGTCTTGTGGAATCGTAGAGCTGGAATGGAGCCTGATGGTCCTCTAACCCCCTGAAGTTGTTGTTATTGTTGCAGATTACACAATAATAATGAAATAAGAATTTATTATTTATACCCCACTCATCTGACTGCATTTCCCCAGCCACTCTGAGCAGCTTCCAGCAAAATATTGAAATACAATAATTCATCAAATATTAAAAGCTTCCCTAAACAGGGCTGCCTTCTAAAAGTCTGGTAGTTGTTTTTCTCTTAGACATCTCATGGGAGGGTGTTCCACAGGGCGGGAGCCACCACTGAGAAGGCCCTCTGCCTGGTTCCATGCAACCTCACTTCTCACAGGGAGGGAACCACCAGAAGGCCCTCGGCGCTGGACCTCAGCATCCGGGCAGAACGATGGGGGTGGAGACACTCCTTCAGGGATACAGGACTGAGGCCGTTTAGGGCTTTAAAGCACCAACACTTTGAATTGTGCTCGGAAACGTACTGGGAGCCAGTGTAGGTCTTTCAGGACCGGTGTTATATGGTCTTGGCGGCCTCTCCCAGTCACCAGTCTAGCTGCCGCATTCTGGATTAGTTGTAGTTTCCGGGTCACCTTCCAAGGTAGCCCCAAGTAGAGCGCATTGCAGTAGTCCAAGCGGGAGCTAACTGGCGAGACAGTCTGCGGGCAGGTAGGGTCTCATCCTGCGTAGCAGATGGAGCTGATAAACAGCTGCCCTGGACACAGAATGGACCTGCGCCTCCATGGACAGCTGTGAGTCCAGAATGACTCCCGGGCTGTGCACCTGGTCCTTCAGGGGCACAGTTACCCCATTCAGGACCAGGGAGTCTTCCACACCTGCCTGCCTCCTGTCCCCCAAAAACAGTACAGTAGTACCTCGGGTTAAGAACTTAATTCGTTCTTAACCTGAAACTGTTCTTAACATGAAGCATCACTTTAGCTAATGGGGCCTCCCGCTGCTGCCGCGCCACTGGAGCACGATTTGTGTTCTCATCATGAAGGAAAGTTCTGAGGTACTATTTCTGGATTAATGGAGTCTGTAACTTGAAGCGTCTGTAACCCGAGGTACCACTGTACTTCTGTCTTGTCAGGATTCAACCTCAATATGTTCGCCGCGATGCAACGCTTTGAGATATAAATGGGACAACGTTTGCCCCTTGTCTGCTGTTGCAACCGGCTCCAGGTACCAGTCACCCAGCCGGCCTGGCGGCTGTCTCCTGGTCCCCAGAGAGTACTAGGGACACCCCTTTGGGGCAGGCCAGCAGTGACCCTCTTTTGTTCTGCCCTTCCCTATCCTCAGGAGCTTCCTGTGCCGCGACGACATTGGCATCGTCCTCATCAACCAGTACATTGCGGAGATGATCCGGCACGCCATCGACGCCCACACCAAGTCCATCCCGGCGGTTCTGGAAATCCCCTCTAAGGAGCACCCTTACGATGCCTCCAAAGACTCGATCCTGCGCCGCGCCAAGGGAATGTTCTCCGCTGAGGACCTGCGGTAGACCGGCTGCTCCTCCAGCATCACCTCTTCCATCAAGAGCTTTCCTCTCCTGTTGCTCCGGCACATTTACCGTCATTCAGACCCTTCCTCTCTCTGCCCAGGAGTTGTCCCTGTGGTCCCCTACATTCCCGCTGTTTGGAATTTCTAGCTCTCTAGTGTGTCTGCGATATTTTGGGAGCTGGGAGGGTGGGGACAGCTGGGAGCTAATGTTGCACTTTCTGCTGCAGTGGGAGTGCTGCCACTACTTCCTTCCCTTCCCCCCCCTTAGCTGGAGCTGTGTTCGAGTTTCCTTGCGTGCTGTAATTTACCAGGGAGCTTCTCCATATACTCCTGTGGCCCTTTCTCCCACCCCACAAAAGGGGGTCCCAAGGTATATTTCTCAGCAGAACGATTTGGGATCTTTTGAGGGCCCGACATTTCCTTGTCCTTCAGGACTAAAGTCCTGATCCCTGGTTGTTGATGCAGCAATACACTTACAACCCAAATCTACACACACACACACCCCTATCTGTGAAGTGCAAACCGGTGATCTTTAATTAAACTGAAAGGCAGAACGTGCAATTCTCTGCAATTTGCGTCTCGAGGATGCATGCAGGAGAAAATGTCACGATACCTCGTCAGAGGTGGTGTCGCGCCGGGAAAAATTTCTGCCACTTTCATTCTGACGTCCTTCATCAGACCTCTCTGTAGCCCTCAATTTGCACAAATATTCTCCACTGAATACCGCTTGTTTCTTGCAAAAGTCCTGTCTGGGGTGAGTCTCCCAGAGAAAATCGACACCCAGCCGTGTTCTTCTGTGCTTTTCCATGTTTATGACTTGTGCTGTTTGTTTTGTTCTGAATATAAGATATATGTGATCTTTAATAATAGCTAATCGTAGTTATTATTTTTGTGATTCCTTGTGAATGAACCTGTTAAATTGAGGGGAGGAACTTAAGGAGTGGACTCAATAAAAACTGTCTGTGAATCACTATCCTTTTTTCCACGGGTATTTTTTCCTCACCCCCGTCTCCTGTCCAGAGCCAGGAATTATTTTCAGCTGACTACGTGGGTCATTCTTTCCCTGAAACTGCAATGAGGAAGTTCTCCAACTCAGTTGCCCCATGTCTGCTGAGCTGGCAGCAAGCACGTCAGCAGCAGCAAGCTATTTGCCTTTTTTTTTCTTTTACTTTACTGCCTCTCCTGGTCTGCCCCGCGGAGGACCTTAAGGTCCACAAATGACAACACTCTGGAGGTCCCAGGTCGCAAGGTGGTTAGATTGGTCTCAACTAGGGCCAGGGCCTTCTCAGTGCTGGCCCCGACTTGGTGGAACGCTCTGTCCCAAGAGACTAGGGCCCTGCGGGACTTGACATCTTTCTGCAGGGCCTGCAAGATAGAGCTGTTCCACCTGCCCTTTGGTTTGGACTCAGTCTGACCCTTATGTTTCCGTCCCCTTATGGTTTTGATCTATGGGCTATTATTAAAAGGAGGCTGCATTTAAATTGCATTTTAACCTGTATTTTAAATTGTGTTTTTTTCCCTATTATGTTTTTACTGTAATTTTACTGGTGTTAGCCACCCTGAGCCCGGCTCTGGCCAGGGAGTGCAGGGTATAAATAAAATTTATTATTATCATTATTACAAGGAGCTCAGGGTCGTCCTGGTGGTCAGACTCTTGAGTGCCACATGGATAGTAGCCCCTTTCGAGGAGGAGCTAGCCATGCTTAGCGCGCCCCCCCATGGAGAGGTCTTGGAGGGGGCGGCTGGATCCTGAGGAAGACCTGGGACTCCTGAATTGCAGGGGGTTGGGCTAGATGACCTCACCTGGAGTACTGTGTCCAGTTCTGGGCACCACAGTTCAAGAAGGACACTGACAAACTGGAACGTGTCCAGAGGAGGGCAACCAAAATGGTCAAAGGCCTGGAAACGATGCCTTATGAGGAACGGCTAAGGGAGCTGGGCATGTTTAGCCTGGAGAAGAGGAGGTTAAGGGGTGATATGATAGCCATGTTCAAATATATAAAAGGATGTCACATAGAGGAGGGAGAAAGGTTGTTTTCTGCTGCTCCAGAGAAGCGGACACGGAGGAATGGATCCAAACTACAAGAAAGAAGATTCCACCTAAACATTAGGAAGAACTTCCTGACAGTAAGAGCTGTTCGACAGTGGAATTTGCTGCCAAGGAGTGTGGTGGAGTCTCCTTCTTTGGAGGTCTTTAAGCAGAGGCTTGACAACCATATGTCAGGAGTGCTCTGATGGTGTTTCCTGCTTGGCAGGGGGTTGGACTCGATGGCCCTTGTGGTCTCTTCCAACTCTAGGATTCTATGACCCTGGAGCCCCCTTCCTGCACCACATGTCAATGATTCTATGGCACAGAGCACAGAACTGTTTTATTAAACTGCAGTTCATTAGATGATGGCTCGACCTTTATGTGCAAACTCTGACCAGCAGGCTGGATTTACGTATAACCTAAACAAGCTATAGATTGGGGGCCCCTCTCTTGGGGCCCCCCCAAAAAATTAAAGGGGGATAAAACCGGATGTACATTTCCAAAATAGAAGATAAAAAACAAAATAAAACCTACATACAGCAACAGTGTTCTGTGTTGTGTAGGCTCCTCTGATGTAAGTCATGGGCCCCGCCTGCTAGCCGGCTCCCTAAAAAATCACTGCTTTTGCAACCAGAGGTACCACTGTATAAGATAAAAAACAAATAAAATAAAACCTACATACAGCAACAGTGTTCTGTGTTCTGTAGGCTCCTATGGTGTAAGTCGTGGGCCCTAGCTGCTAGCCTGCTCCCTGAAATATCACTGCTTTGCTCCTTTCTATATATAGGGTGCCTACATTCTGCATGGACTAGTTGGATGGCAACATGTGCAAATGGCTTTGATACCTATTAGGTCCATCAATTACCATATAGCATATATTCCACACAAAAAACAGCAACCGTTTGTTGTTGACAAAGGACCGCTGGACATAGAAAGGGCCCCATTACCTTCAGGAGTTGAAAGGTAAAGGACCCCTGACCATTAAGTCCAGTTGCAGACGACTCTGAGGTTGCGAGCTCATCTCGCTTTACTGGTCGAGGGAGCCGACGTTTGTCCGCAGACAGTTTTTCCGGGTCATGTGGCCAGCATGACTAAGCCGCTTCTGGTGAACCAGAGCAGCGCACGGAAACGCCATTGACCTTTCCGCCAGAGCGGTTCCTATTTATCTACTTGCACTTTGACGCGCTTTCAAACTACTAGGTAGGCAGGAGCAGGGACCAAGCAACGGGAGCTCACCCCATGGCGGGGATTCGAACCGCCAACCTTCTGATCGACAAGTCCTTGGCTCTGTGGTTTAACCCACAGCACCACCCCGGTCACCTATTAAGTAGCTTAGGTAAAGGGACCCCTGACCATTAGGTCCAGTTGTCACCGACTCTGGGGCTGCGGCGCTCATTACGCTTTATTGGCTGAGGGAGCCGGCGTACAGCTTTTGGGTCATGTGGCCAGCATGACTAAGCCGCTTCTGGCAAACCAGAGCAGTGCATGGAAACACCGTTTACATTCCCGCCAGAGCAGTACCTATTGATCTACTTGCATTTTGACGTGCTTTCGAACTGCTAGGTTGGCAGGATTCAGTAGCCTAGGGCCGCATCAAATCTAAATCCGGCCCTGAGTCTTCTCCATTTGCAGCATTTCCCATCCGCCACTGTCGAATGGCTCTTACCATCAGAAAGTTCTTTCCAAGGTTGACTTGGAATCACCTTGTTGTCATTTGAATCCATTGGCTTGGGTCTCATCTTTGTCATATCCAGTTACAGTGGTACCTCGGGTTACAGAAGCTTCAGGTTGCAGACTCCGCTAACCCAGAAATAGTGCTTCAGGATAAGAACTTTGCTTCAGGATAAGAACAGAAATCGTGCTCTGGCGGCGCAGCAGCAGCGGGAGGCCCCATTAGCTAAAGTGGTGCTTCAGGTTAAGAACAGTTTCAGGTTAAGAATGAACCTCCGGAACGAATTAAGTACTTAACCCGAGGTACCAGTGGATTCGTTTTTCTGACGTTTAATGCTACTCCTAACACCGCACATTCCATGGCATGGCATGTAATTCTTAAGCTGCGCATGTTTCTATGTGCCGTGCCTCTTTAGTTGTGATTCCACTTTGCAGGGAGTTGGACCAAGTAGTCCCCTTCTAACGCTACAATTCTATGCTTTGCTTACTTGCAAAAAAACACAACATGAAGCAATGGTTTATTGTTAGCTTACAAACCATGGTTTAACTATGGCTTGGCATTATGGGTAAACTCAGCACCCTCCCTTTTCCAACCCTTTTTTTTTTTAATTTACACACACCCATAATTCATGATTAAAAAGGACGTGGGTGGTGCTGTTGTCTAAACCACTGAGCCTAGGGCTTGCCGATCAGAAGGTCGGTGATTCGAATCCCCGCAACGGGGTGAGCTCCTGTTGCTTGGTCCCAACTCCTGCCCACCTACCAGGAGGCTGCAAGTTTAAGTAGATAAATAGGTACGGCTCCGGCGGGAAGGTAAACGGCATTTCCGTGCGCTGCTCTGGTTCGCCAGAAGCGGCTTAGTCATGCTGGCCACATGACCCAGAAGCTGTCTGCGGACAAACGCCGGCTCCCTCAGCCAGTAAAGAGAGATGAGCGCCACAACCCCAGAATCGTCTGCGACTGGACTTAATGGTCAGGGGTCCTTTACCTTTATAATTCACGATTATAAAGATATTAAGGTTTGCAATTAATTACATCACACTTCACATGTCCCTAATTGCAGCTTAATTTGTTTTATTCTGATCCCAGTGCAATAAGAGCGGCTTCCTGTTTTTCCTAAAACTCTCTTGCTGATTGTCTCCTTCCCTCTCGTGATTGTTCGCATCTGAAAATGTTGTTCACCGTCGTTCCAGATTTTGCTCTTGTCGGGGTCTGTTGTTGGTGTCTGTTAAACAACCACGGTTTAGGGTTATGTCTGAACCGGGACTGTGTTCTTTGGTAACAGGAGATTAGGCTGCTCC